TTCCGTCTAACACACGTTCAATCCTCTTTCCGTGGAGCACCAGGAGATAAAGTGCCGCGGAACGGCGTGGCAACGTGAGATTTTCGCTGATGCGAGTGACGCAATAAATTATAACGCGATATCTGTGGGGCAGAGCGTGTATAGGAGAGGGCGCATAACGTCGGCGAACACGATGGAGGCACGCAAGAGAAAACATCGGAGGCACGTCGTTTTGTTCGGCAACGGTAACATTGTTGTAACACGAGAAGATATTGTCCACTTGACAACGGAGCCACGGCATGGAAGAGAATCACTCCGGGTGCACGTGATGCCCGGCCGATATACGTATGTAACAAGCCTCCAGGCCTTTTCGTTCTACCTTCACAAAATCTCTTCTCCGGCAATCGTTACAAGAATTTCTTGAAAAAGGAGAAGACACCTCGAATCTCGCGTGTAATTTCCATCGAGGAAAATTCCACGATCGATACACATCGCGTTAAAGACAAACGAAGCGTGAAGGAAGGCGACTAGAGTCGAAGAATAGCTAGGCGATTGTTTCGCGACCCTGTGGCTCCCGCCCCCTCTTCCTCTGTTCTTTCCTTCCTTTTTTTTTCTCTCGTCGCTGAAATTCCAGCTCGAATCTAAAACGATCGAAACGTTTCGTAACGTTCGCCAGGTAGGTAGCAACCCGGAGAAGGAGGAGAAGAGGAAGAAAACGAGGAAGAAAGAAAGCAAATGGAGAAAACCAAGTTGAACCGAGGAGGTAGAAGGTTCGAGGGGAGTACAAGATGAAGAGAGGGAGGAGGAGGCCTGGAGACGGTGGAGAAAGAGGAAGGAAGGGCACACGTTTCGAATGGGCGAAGAGAGGTTCGAGAAAAGGCGGTCCTCGGGGCTCCTTGTCCCCGACGTTTAATTTCAGGCAGTCCAAGGAGCTCGTAACATCTCTGCCGTGTTTAACATCGAGAAGAGAGGGCCTTGGGAAGAAGATGCCTGCGATCAGACCAGAACCAGTTCTCGCGCCTTAAACGGGCGGTTCTCACGCATTTATAGCCCTTCATCACGCTTTCCATTCAACCTAATTGCCAGGATCGGACCCCGTGAGAACCACTGTGTGTCTCGTGCAACGTTTTGCACAAATCCTGGAATACTACCGCTTGCTGTACGCGCGCGCGCGCGCGTTCCGACCTTTGCGAAGAAAAATTCAAAATCTGCCGTTTCCTCCGCTTTTCGCAGCTATTTTTCTCGATTACGCGGACAACGACGGAACACCGTAACAATAGGCTATTTAATTAAGGTGAACTCGAACGAAACACGATTTACTAGGTTGAAGAGCGATTGCGATGATTATTAATAGGGGACGATAACGGTGGAACAAAAGAAATCAGAGTTGAATAATGTTTACCGTGTAACAATGGTTGAGAATTACTGGCCCGAGATACGATCGTTCCGTGATCAATAATACGACCGTGTAGCCGGTATAAAAGAAGGCGACTCGCTTAACTTGAACGTTAATGAGTCATTCGAGAGCTGTGTTTGACACGTATCTGATACTTAATTACACGGCTCGACCGAGCAACCGCGTTAATTTTAACAACCGGAATAATTTTTATCGAGCGTGCAACAAATTGCGCGTACGCTGGGACTTTAATTTTTCTTCTTCATCCCCCCCCACACTCTCTATTTTACTACGTCGTCCCCGCGGTTTCCTCGTCAGCTGTGGGACGTTTCGTAAACGCGTAAACACCGGAGGAGAAGCGGGAAGTTTACGCTAGCGGAACAAAGAAAGTCAATGCCGTGACGTTTCCACGAGCTTTTTTACGGTTTACTCTAAATACCGTTACGAGAGATTTTACCTGGCCAGATCGCGGCTCAGGCACTATTAAAAAGGAGCGACAAAGCGCATCGGAAAGGGGTCGATAACCGGCCACTGTTCGGTGCACGTCGAATCCGAGAGGAGAACGCCGCCGCGAGCAAGAATCGCAACAATTCGACGCGAAACCAACCGCGTTCCGTGTTCCGCGTAAAACCATAATATCTCTAGACCAACTCTCGAGCTCCCCGTAAAACGACGAGAAAATCGCAACGCGCTCTCCTTCTTTCCCTCGGCTGTACCTTCGCAATACGAAAATTTATTTCATCCTTTCCGTACCGAGTTTCTCTAATCACGATCATTTCCGAGTAATTTGCCACAGTGTACCAATTACCAGAGACACGGAAAATAGTAGGCTAGATCGTCTAGTACCTAATTACTATAACTCGTGTAACCACGGTTAAGATAATACTTAACGCTATATAATAAAGTGGTTTAATAACCGTGTCATTCCTCCGTCTATCCTCTTCGACACTCCAGATGAGGTTGAAGTACGTTCAATTCTTGATTTGCAACGGTTTCTGTTTAACCCCTTAACGCTCGTGTTTTACACGTGCAAAATTAATCCTCGAAAAAGTGCAATTTTGTTTCGTTATTTTCTATCACTCTTCGTATCGCGCTATTCTTTCTATTCTATAGCAAAAATCTATGTCGCAGCGTTATAAGTAAATGGGAAACTTATTTCTATACGCCTAGGAAATAATTCGAAAAGAAATAAAATTGACAGTTTTCGGCACGTCAAGTTGAGAGAAATGTGAGCGTTAAGAGGTTAACGAAATTTTATTTTTAATCGATTTCTCTTCGTGCTCGTACCATTTGTGCAGGTGATTAGTAAAGATTTGCTTAAAAAAATAAAATACACCTTATACGTCTATGTAAGCTTTTATTTTCTACAAAAGTCTAGTCTCGATTTACACGGTGCCAATTAACCATGTAAATCGAGGGTTAGGTGTGTGTATCGCAGCGCGGACGACACGAGAGTCGTTGACAAGAAAAAAGAAGAAGGAGAGGAAAAAGACGGTACACGTCGGTGGTATGGAGGATACCATTCGAATAGGAACCGGAACTCGCGGTCCGTGCTCGGAATTGACTACACGATTGCACATGTACGGCCGTGCATATGAATCAGATAAAAGAGAGCCGGGGGGATTCGTACGGGGCGCGACGCGCGGACCGAGGTTATCGGCTCCGTCATTGATTTCTTCGTCGCACAAAAATAAATCTCGGTATCGGGTGGAAGGGGGGGAGGGTACACACGCATGGAACAGAGATAGACGCATTCAAAACCGCAGAGATCGAATTGAAAATCATCCAACGAGAAATCTTCCCCACGGTAATGATGCAATCGTGAACAGACGCGATACACGGATTGGCAAAGTCGAACGATTAATAAACGATTTTCCGTCTATCGATGCGATGCATTTTGGTCGTATGGCTAACTTCACGGTCTATTAGATACGGCTGAAAGTTCTAACTCGTCGATGTACCGATATTTGCCGCGTATCTCTACATCGAGATTACAGTTCGATGTATCGAAAAGGAAAAAAGAAATGGACGCACCGTGGATCCTGTTCACACTAGGAACGAAGGGGGAAAATGGTGGGAGAGGGGACGAGTAGTCGAATTACACGAATAACGATGGACGTAGTATGTAATTGTATGCAAAAAGAATAATAGGGTATATAGAAATGTATTTACTTCGTCGGTGTGTAGTTGCTTCGAGAAAGAATGCTACCTTTTTGTCCGGAACGACAGATCCGTAACTCTCTTTTGACCTAGCTAACCTTGAATCGAGCAACTTCGCGTCGCATATTGTATTAAGAATGCGAAATAAAGATACGAGCTGAAACCACAATAAATAACACGCGAGCTCGTGTCTACGACGCCGTGTCATGCTCTTGAGAAACTTTCGTCGTGCTTTGTTTCTTTTTCTTCCTAGAATTTCGCGGAAGGGAAACATGTACGATTTCTTAATGTCGTTACCAGCGGGACGCGAACGATTCGGAAGTCAAGGCGGATGCACAAATTGTAGCGTAAAAGACTTTCGGTTAACATCCATCTTGGAAAGTTAATATCGGTCCAATATCGCTTTTCTATGTATTATATCGGGCTTCAATTACGAAGGAAACACGAAAAGTTCGATTATGTCAAATGACGCGTAATTTGTGCAGAAGCAGGCGGAAACTTGACGCCGTCTGTCAACGCGGAAAAAAATTCCATATACCAAACGATCACGTCGAGAAAGCACGTTGATACATATGGGAAACCGAAAGTTCGTGATGATATTAAATTTGAAACGTCGACAGGACGAATTCTAATACAGTTCGTCCGAGGGATCGTTATGATCCACGTGCTACGAAATACGTTTTCAATAGAACCGGCGTCACCCGGCGTCACGCCGTTTCCAAACTTTTCGATTCAAAGTCGAAGTAAGGCGAATTAACGAACAAAAATTCATCTATAGACAAAGGAGGAGCGCCGGAAACGATAGAGAAACTTTCACTTACCGTTAACGCCGAAATATCCTGGAGAAATCTGTCGGAATACGGATCCCAAGCACTTGCAACAACACTTCACTCGAGTACGCCGGTCACTGCGCTTGTGCGTTCAAACTCACCATCCTCGAGCGAAACGTTACTGCCATCTTACGCCTCAAGACGCGAACTGATTTACCCACAAAGCCCGTTCACAAAGGCGGCGGTTGATTTTCTATTTTAATTCTTATCCGCATGAAACAAAATAATGATTTATTGTTAATTAAAAATATGTGTATCAACTTATTACAATCCAATTGTCTGAGTAGAAAAAGTTCACGTAACACGTAATTACGTCGTGTTATAATTAAAATACAGAAGCATTCATAACCTTACGTTAACGACTTACGCGACACGAATCGAGATGCTGGAAATTTTTATTGATAATTACTCTCTCAATTCAAGCCATTTTTTAGAACTGTTATTACTTGTAAACTTAATAGATAAAACGTTAAAATATATTACGAGTCAAGTGTTGAAAGATTGAAATTAAATGATACGACAAATATTTGGTTGTCATAGAAAACAAAAAAAGATCGAAATATTAATTATTAATAAAATTCAATAAAAGGCGGGCAAAATCGAAATAATTTAATTGTTTATTACTGTAACTACAATTATACCATAAAAACTACGTCCATATTTTTTTTTCCATGTCCATAATAAAGAAACCCGTAGTGTGGAGTATTTAATTTATGGAAAAACGTCATACCGGGCCAAAAAAGACTATGTAAAATTGCTAATCGTTTACCAAGTAAAAATTGCAAATTCCAACATCCTGAAAAGGGATAAAATACCAGAGGAAATAAAAACCAACCTTGCGATGTTCTTGTTACAAATTTTCTGATCTTATTCCAATACCTTGTGGGACATCTACATCAATCGTATCCAGAAAATCTATCGCGTAATTGTAATCGGGCCTTGTGAGTAAATTAGTATTCCACTTTTGTTGCGGTGGACGTGCATGTAGATAAGATTTTAAATGCGAAGCATCTGCACTACCAAGTCCCTCGAAACTTAAATTTTCAACGATGTCCCCATTGGGGCACTTAAACCATGCACCACGAGGAATTATTATGGCGTCATCTTTAATTATTTCTATCGTAGCCGCAAGTCTATCTTCCTCTTTTAACTCTTTTGGTATAGGGCCCTAGCACATATTAGGAATCACAAATTTTTTAAACACTTTTCTTTCACACATTTAAAACATCGTTCGTCACAACTGTTTGTCACTTACGTCGTAGTATCGTTTAGGATCTTCATTTGGCGGGAAAGGAGGATTTACGTTATAAACATTAGTGACTATAGAAGGATCACCTTCGAACTTATTAATTGCAATGGGTGTTAAAAATCGTGCACATTTATTAGCTTTCGGTAGTAATAGCCAATTAAATCCGTTCGTACTAATTTAAATATTGAAACTTTTCAATAATTCTTGTTAAATTTGACTCGTTTTGACAAGCTTACCTGTAATAGTATACTTGGTCGTTCATGCAGTCTTTTTTAAAACCATACGCAATGTGGTAGTCATTTCGAACTCCGTAGATTTTGCCCCAGTAATAACACTTTTGAAAATGATTCTCTTGTTGCAATATTACGAGGGAATTTTGTAACAGCTGTGAATTTTCTGTTCCTACGCAAATACCAGCGTAACCAAAAATATCTAAGGTTTCCAAAAGTTTTAGACATTCCATTTTCTTATTTTTTCTTCTTTTGTATGCTATATCAGAGTTATGAAGTAACCTTAAAATATTTAGAAAACAATCGAAAATAAGAGATGATTTTCACATCTTGAAAAATTATTGAATTTAATTCATGCTATAAGCAGTCTCTTTTTACTCCAGTAGATGGATCCGTATAGCATATGCTAGAAGCAGCCTAACGGAATACAAGTTGACCTGTGTAGAGTGTTTATTTAATTTTACATAAAATAAAAATGTCATCGTCCGAGGAAGAAAGTGATCAATTGGCTGATTTGGAAGCTATCCGTGATCAAATGTTAAGTCAACCACGAGGTGAACGTATGCAAGTTAGTGCTTGGGAAGATGACGATGACGGAGTAGAAGCTGATCGTAATGCAAAAGGTTAGATCACGGTTGTAAATTGTTTACGGCATTACTATTTGACGATCGATCTAATAACGCAATTACTTTTCCTATAGAACCTGATGCAAAAGAAATTCTAACTGCAGCGGAAAATGGTGATCTGGACAAAGTAAAAAAATTATTGACAAAAAATCCTCGTTTATTAGAAAGCACAGATAAGGATGGTTACACACCATTGCATAGAGCGTGTTATGGAAATCATGTGGAAATTGTGGAGGTAAATATACACTATTTCTTCAGAATGATTTATTTTCCATCAGTAAAGATATTAAAGTTATTTTATTTTGTTTATAGTATTTACTTCAATCAGGTGCACAGATAGATGCTAAGACTAACGATGAATGGCAACCATTACATTCTGCATGCTGCTGGAATAATGTTGAATGTGCAGCAGTTTTAATTGCAAATGGAGCAGACATAAATGCCAGAAGTAAAGGGGACCAAACACCTTTGCATTTAGTGTCTGCAAGTTCTCATAATTCTTCTGCTTTGCAACTTCTTTTATTACACCCAGACATAAAGCCTCGTTTAGTAAACTCAAGTGGGGATACTGCAGAACAAATTGCAAAGAGAACAGGAAAATACTATCCAATGTTTGAAATCATTGAAGACTGCTTAAATGTGATCTGAGGTATGTCAAAAAATTTTTCTATTGCTTCATATATTTTATTAAATATGCCTATATACACATGTTACAACATTATGAACATAAAAAATTTATGAAATTGAAAGTTTGTTGTAAGCGTATCATCCATGTACAATTAGTAAAATTATAAATATAATAAGAATAGAACCTGTACTTGTATAGGTGCATTATATGTTTTTAATACAACAGAGTATAAAAATATAGATGTGGGCATATTACTACAAATATAACAAAAATTATTGTAATAAAAATTTCAATAAAATAATACTTCAATGTGTTACTTTGTTTTTTGTCTAATAGATACAAATCTAATAAAAGACTATTATTTTAAGAGTATTAAGAAAAATATGTTTGATGTGATTCTAGTTGTATAAAACTATTGAAAATATGACATTAACATTGTAATTATATAAAATATGTCTTTCTTTATTTTATAAAATTCCTATCGAAAAAATGAAAACGTGTTTTTAACAATATTTAAAATAACACGTTATCCATGCGCTCAAACAACATTTTCACTTTACTTATTTATACGAGAGCGATGTTAAATTAACGAATCTTGAAATGCTATTGCTTAGACGTTTCGATCCTTCCCATATAAGAATAGTGAAATCATCAATTACAGCATACAACTGATGCTGATCCAAGGACCATGCTAGCGAAATTACTGCCCCACTTCCCTTTACACTATTTATAATTTCTCTGACTAATCTTAAATCCCAACTGCTCCATAATCTTATCACTCCATTATCTAATCCTGTTGCAATAACATTCACAGAAACTCCTTCTGGTGCATTACTATAACAAAGAGCTGTTATCTTTCTTTTAGATAAAACAGATCCAACTGCTCTTGCATTTATAGTGAATACTTTCAATTCTGATTGACTGGAAGACGTGTTTCCGCTTATCTTAGGAATCTCATAAGTAACTGCTATATCTCCGAGAGTTTCGCTAATCGACAGTAAATGAATAGGATAGTTTTGATCACAGGATATCGATCTTATATACGTTAGACTGCAAGAAAATAAATAATTACTTTAATTGTCCTATGTCAATCCTTTTTATTTATGAATATGCTTACCTATTTAAATCCCAAATAACTGCGACACCGCTTGCGTCACCTGTAACAGCAATACTAAATGCTCGTGAAAGAGATATTATTGTTACTCTGCTCCTATGAGCTAAAAGTACAGACGCCGGTGTTGAATTAAAGTCAATTTTACTTGTAACAATTGTGTACGTGTACACTGTAATTCTACCAGATAAGTGGCCTGTCCACAATTGTCCACAATCTGGAGCTGATTCTATAACAGTAATCTAAGGAAACAAAATAGAAAAATTAATATTACGCGCTCGATCGTTCGAGAGAAGTATTTTAAAACATTAATTTATATTCTTACTGGATTGAGACCAGAAGATTTGATCAACGGCCTCGGTGGAAGTTCTTTTTTACATTTCAGTCTTGCAATTCCGTCTGTGCCATTCCATGACACTAAAGCAGCCCCTAATACAGACGTTTTACTTAACATACTCGCACCCTTTTCTTTCGTATAACTAAGTAATAACGTGGTGTAACTAGGTAATCCAAAAACTTCACCGGTGATTAAAGGAACTAAAGCCGCTAATAGTACCGTGCTTTTATGTTTGTAACATAATATTGGTTCATTTCCAGGAGCACCAACATAGTTTCCCCACTTTATACCTGTAATTACACAAAAACCAAATTTATTCCACGTATCAGAATTTAAAGCAAAGATATCATAGTTGCAAAACGCGTACCGTCTACACCTTCGATAACTTTTGGTAACGAACTATTCACCACTGTATTTCCAATACTCTGAATCGACAATGGATGTCCAGCTCTAAATAATTGCGTCGGTGTTTGGCCATAAGTTCGTACCATCGTTTCCCATGCTCCACGTTTTAAAGGATCGGCTATTTGTTCAATATTTAGGCCATAGTAAGTCTAAAGAGATAAATTTATAAACGTCATGTATGACCGTAAAAAGTGATCGTATAAATATCAATCGGAACGTACCGCAGGATGAAAAACGTTTATAGCTTCTACTGCTGGTTTGCCAGTTTGTCTAAATCCAAAGACCAGATCGATCCAATAGGGTAGAAATTTTCTAACAAGATCTGCTTCTAACGCTGCTCTATGAGCAAGTATAAAAAGTCGCGCATCACCTCCGCACCATTTCGGTAGTTCAACGTCTCCTACCCGACTACCGTTTTGTCGTACTCCAAAATTAAAACCTTCAAACAAATATCCAACACGAGTATGAAACTACTTAAACGTCATTTATCAGATGGAAGATATATGAAAAATTATTTCACCTTCGGAATTCAGTAAAAATTCAGGCAAATAGAAGAACTCGGGAATTAATTCTTTCACGTCTGTTGTTGAGTCGCAACTAGTTAGTCTCCATGTAGTGGCTAACGCATGAAACGTTCGATCAGGAATATCGAAATTATTGTCTTTAAAAATACAAACAAGCTGAATTAAAAAATCAAGTTTCAGTGTTAATGTAAACGTGCATATGAAGAAAAATACGATGTTCAATTTACCTTGGTAACATAGAAACATACTAGTGAATGGTGGTAATCGTACTAAGAAGTGAAGCACTGTTCCAGAATTACTGTAAAGCGATCCGTAATGAAAGGGTTCTTGATTTAACGGGATCAGGTTCAACCCTTCCGATAAAGCTTGCTTAAGATACTAAATAAAACGATAAATGAAATTACAGACAATAATATCTCATAAAAATAATTTATCGATAATTAAACCACTCACGTTGTAATTGTTTATGTAATGTTGTTCGTTCTTTTTATCCTGCACAGCCATAGGACGTTCTAAGTTTCTAAAGAGAATATTTTTCGTTGTTATTTTTCTGCTAATATTTTCTACGCATTCCTCGTTCAACTTACCGATAGATTTTTGGATTGTTCAAATCGATCTTTTCACTTGTATAATCCGCTAATACAAACGGGAATACAGGATATTGCATTAAATCGTTGTACGAGCGACCGGCTAATTTATTTAAGCAAGTGATGTATTCATAATTTGTTAATGCCCCACTTCGCCATAACGAGAGAGCGACGTTTAAATCACCACCAGACACTCGACTCGGTAAATTGCAAGCAGATAATTTTGTTACAAATTCCTCTCTTTCCTACAAATTAACAGCCGTAATTAAAACATACGTGATACATTGTTTCAAGTAGTGCATACCTTCGAAGAATTAAATGCCAATAAATAAGTTCTTCCTGTGATAAGGAATATTTCAATAGCTCTCTCTTGTAATTGATATCTTCTTCTGTGCACTTCTTGAATGTCCTCCAGTTTCCATGTAATTCCACCCACCATAGTCAAATCTAAACCACCTAAGGCTATCTGTAATTTTATACATTTAATAAATATACATATAACAGCCAATTAGCAAAATGTTGAAAAAAAAAAAATCCTACATCTGTGTGCAACGATTTGTCAAGATTATCAGGAACAAAGTAAAGACAGGTTTCACCGATAAGAACTTCGCCAGCCAGTTCAGTTCTGGGTGTAACTACTTTCGCTTGAAACATTTTACGTATTCTTTCACTGGTATGCAATCGCTCTACCAATGCCTTTGCATCTTGTCGATCAGTCGTAAATAAATAGGACAAAGGCGCTTCAACTTTCGCTGCATCTGTGTATGTAAAAATAAGATATTCATATTCAGTATAACGAAATTGAATTAACGTAGTTAATGAAATAATCAGTAATCGAACCTAGTTTATGTTGACTTTCAGGCATGAAGAATCTCTTGTTAATGTTCAAGTGACATCTTTGCAATCTTATCCTAACTCTAGCAGGCCCTTCTGTTGGATCTAGCTCCCAACTTCTTGGATAACTTTTTGCAAAGTGCCAAGGAGCTCTCTCGTGTGTTAGTCCTCTCGTTAAATCCCTCCATCTGGCAAGTGCCTGAGCTTTCATTGCTCTTGATTGTTTCAGTCTTTCCATTAATACTTTACGTTCTCGATTTTGTTCCTCTACAACTGTCCTCGTTATAGTCATCGCGCTCTCTGTTAGTTGCTTAGTAAGCACGTCGAATCTGTTGGCGATCCTTTGAATTGCAGGGAGATTCGAATCGATCCATATATCTCGATCTCTCATCAATTCTCGCCTGAGCAATGCTAACTCCTCGTTCCATATTCCAGGACTAGCGTGTTCTATTCCTTTCGCCAAATCCCATATGCTTAAAGCTTCTTTCAGTTCTGCACACACTCTAGAATCGGCACTGGGCATTTCGTCCCGTTTTTGCAACAGATCCCAAAAGAGCACGTTAAACTTTCGTTCCACTTGCGGATGAACTTCTAAGAGAGAGGAGAGGATTTCACGAGCTTTCGGTTCTTCCATTAACGATCTGACAGCAAATATTCTGGTATTGTTACTTTGGTGTGGTCCAAGTAACCACACCATTATTTTAGCTGTGTATTTTCTTAAAGCGTGTCTAATGGACCATTCGCTGCTCCAGTGATTTCTCTTCTCCAATGGATTGCAAAGGCCGTGCAAAAGGATCGAGAATAATCTTTTAGTTAATTGTAATTCGTTGCCAGAAGGTGATTCGTCGGCTGACGTTATGAATTCTACAGCACGCGTTAAGATAAGGCGAAATCGATGAAGCAGTTCTCCTTTGCCTGGCTCGCGTAAAAGCGCGACAGAAGGTGCGTGTAAACTTGTATAACTAGACGACGGAGAACCGTGATCACTTTGATCACTGGACGTTGTGAAAACTGACGTTATATGAGACGCCGAGGCCAAATAGGACGCTGTACTGCGTAATCGAAAACCTGACTGATTCGAGACTTTCGCCGTAAGCACATCAAGTTCTCCATCAAAGAGCGCAACCTGTGCATCCCTTACAACTGATACGCAACTTCTATTCTTAACGCAATGAGATTTTTCTTTCAATTCCATATGGTTCAGTATTAAATGTAAGTCTAAAACAGTCTGCATTTTATGACCTTCCGGGGATTCCAGGAGTTTCGTGGCAATGGCCACTAGAAGCACGTGAATATCTCTATAAAGGGACGTAGATCCACCCTTGTGAGCACTTCCCACCAACGCTTGAGCTAATGATTCGATTAAACCTTGTTCCAAAAGCATCCTCAAAATACTGGGATTCTTGGCGATTATATCGGTGATAAATGATACTATCGATCTAACCACGTTCGGTTCAGTAGTTGCCGCTTTCGCAATAATAGCCATTAATGGCGGCATCGTGGCTCTTGTTGGACCTCGTAATGCTAAATTTTCTAAAGCTACTACCAATGGCTCGCTTCCGGGATATAATGCTATTTGGTTTGCTAAATGTACAAAATATTTTTGCTTTACAAATTTGTTCACATCTTCGGCGCTAGCACGTTGCAAATATGTTTGAATAACTTTAATTATTGCCGTTCGAACTCTAGTGTTGGGGTTATTGGCAAGTACGAGTAAAAGTTCAGGTTTTAGAACGTGTTTCAACACGGCACCAACTTGACTATCAGGTAAAACTCTAACTGCGTCTCGGAGTAGCAGTAAGAGTCCTTCGCAAACTAAACCTTGACAAGCTCTTCTCTCGTCCGTCCATGTAGATTGCTTTTCGTTACTAAGAGGATTAGATCCGTCGCTAGCCGCGATCCCTGAATCTTCTCCAGCACTGGTATCTTGAGGAGGCCCGTTTCGACGTTCTTTCCTTCTGGGTATTCTAACCTTCTGAATCTGTACGTTTGTTAAACCTTTGTTCAATTTACTATTTTCCAATGTTCCGATAGATTCATCTGAGGAACTAGAAGTCACCGTCGAAGTGATTTTCACAACCTTTTTTTCTCCAATAGGAGGTAGCAAAAAATATATATTGTGTCTGGAGTGTGTGATGTATGTCTCGGATGCTTGATGAACTAGGACTAAATAATCGGTAATAGCTACTAAATGAGCAAATTCTGGAGGTGCGCCCATTAGTGCTCTTATTAATTCAACCACAGTAGTTCCCGTTGAAGAATCAACAACAGCACCTAATTCCTCGTACATAAAATGCTCCTTGCATAATGTTAAAATGGTGTCGACGATTCCGACTCTGTTTAATTGAGACGCGTTAAACTCACGCTGGGAATGCTGATCTCTTAACAGTAACAACAGTGCTTGCAATAGCAAGTTCAACGTATCATGTTTCGCCCACGTTCTCCACGCGGTCAGTGTACCTTTGATCAATTCAGGATCCGTGATGACAGCTTCGCAATTTTGCGAGACCGAATGATTGCCGCTGCCGATATCCTTTATTAAGATAGGACTATCGCATGCTGCATCTAACATTGCTTTCAGAATATGTCTGCCTGCGTGGCATCGTGACGATTCTAAAATACGTAGGATCACAGTACTATTGAAAGAGCCAATGCCTGTTCTTCTTCGTTAGAATTTAATTCGACTACTCTCGCAAATAGATACAAAAATACAGGAACACCGCCCACAAATGTAACAGCAGGTACGAGACCTCTGTACTGTTGGCATTCTAACCGAGCGACTAATATCGGTGCCACAGACAAAGGTGGTTGCTGTGAAACTCTATGTTCCGGTGCAGAGACAACCCTAAAACCTGGTTGAGCCGAGAATAGATTTCTTACAACAGCTAGAAATAAGCATATAATATTTATACGAACAAGCTAAGGATCGCCAAATGTTAATTCACATTCACAAGATAGAAAACTTACCGGCAGGATTCGCGACAGCTTCAGGGTATAAATGAACGATCTCGGGATATTGAGCTTCGTAACTGAGAAGTAGATTATCTTGCAGTTCACCCAAATGCGAATTTGTAGCATCCATAACTACGTCCCAATCAATTTTAGTCTCAGATACTTTTGTCTCAACTGCGTGTCTTAAGTATGTTCCACCATATGACTTTCTCCGACTTGTATCGAATTTTCCTCCTTCTGTGTATCAGATAGAAACCTAATTGAATATGCTGAAATAAAAATAGCAAGCGTGTGTATTGCGATATATTTACCAAATCGAACTTCTCGAACACCATCCAGAGCGCCAGATGCAATTAACGGCGCAAAATCTGGCTTCTCTGTATTTAAAATACATTCGGCAAGATTAGTGTAATTAGGTCCAAGACTTGCCAGATAGAATGCTCTCTCCTTTGTAAATACTGGACACCTGTAAATTAATTCTTAGCGATAGGTACACAGAATGCGATAATTAATCGATAATTGTTAACGTCACGTTACAAAGATGCGTACCTGAATACCATTAAATTTCCAAGATACCAAGCTCCGACTGTACTGGATCCAACTTGCCCCAATAGAACGCACGTAGTGCCAGGTTTTTTCACTAATAGACCGTCAAATGGTAATTGCGCGTTCACCTCTCTCCAGCCATCCACCCAAAGCACAACTTCGACAACGGCGCTACGTTTATTTAAAACAGTGTCTTTGAAATTCAACGCTAAATGATGCCACCCACCAGAAGGTAGCATACCAGTTACCGATGTTTCAGAAATTGTTCGATTCATTTTGTCGTCTGGTCTAGTTAATCGTAAAATCAATTTGTCTAAAATAAAAAAAATATAAGAAAATATAATAGACGTACCAAAGGTACACATGTATATAAACCAAGTATATTTAATCACCTGATCTAAGATCCAACCATGTTTCAAGCACCAGAGACTCGAATCCGATAGATATCAAGTGAATAATCGACGTTGGTGTAGGTGGAGATGTCGAACCTGCTACGACTGATGTACCCAAGAAAAGATCAGACATCGATTGGTCTTTCCACGATAATTTGTAGAGCATGCGTTCAATAAAAAACAACAAACTTATTGCTACATTTGATACTATCATACGAGAACATATTTTTTTTTTTTTTTCACAAATTTATCATTACAAATCATTAAGACATCTCGTCATTAACGAATCGTGACAAGTTTATGTTAAAATGGTCGTACGCTTTTATTTGTTAGTCTATGTTCATCATCGCTTTACCAACCTTCACGACTCCAATTATCAGACAGAATACCCCAATCCGACAAACTTTCATTGTCCGAATCGAGTAATGGTGATGTACTAATCAATGTCCCTTTGCCACTAACAGGTAATCCTCTTTCAACTCTCAACCACATGGAGACAGAACAACCTTGTAGCCAAACTGGCCAAGCAAGTTCAGGGCCAACAGGTAGACACGCCGCGTGTACAGACCATGGGCTGCATATTCCCGACGCGAGATGCCTTTTCCGGAAGTTATTCACAAGGTTCTCGGTCTTTTCTAAATTTTTATCCTTCTCCTTTTGAGCTTTCAACGAGACTCGAGTGCTCGAGTGCACGGGAAACGATAAGATGAAATTGGGTTGAGGACGCGCTGCTCGAACCAGATGGAAAAGTGGTTCCAACAACGATTGAAGCGGAGGTGCGTCGACTTTGAACAAAGACAAATATGTAACCAGTTCCGGTGGCGCAATGGATTGCGTTGCTAGTAAAGTAAACACTTCTAGAACAGCATGTTGCAAATCTGGAATAATTTTGTTACACAACATTACGACGCACAGGTTTAACAAAATTATTACGCATATCGAACAAAGAATACCTTGATACTGAATATCTCTGCTGGTGAATATATCTCGGAAACCGTCTAACAATTTTGTGATCACTCCTGAAACTGCAAGAACAGCACAACTTGATGCACTTTCTCTACAAGTGACTGCAACTTTTCTTAAACCAGCAGTTATAATGGATCTCTTCTCAGCATCCAAACCTCTGTGCAAGAAGATGATTGATAACATTTCTGTCACACACACAGTTCTTGTATTTCATACAATTAAACACTCACTGTTCGCTGAAATAGATCAACAAATCAACTGCCAACGAACATAAAGCAGGATGTGCATTTGCATTGCGTCTAGGCTCTACAACAGGTCCCAATGAATTACTTCTTTTCACCGTATTGCTATGAGGACTTCTTCCCGGTACTTCTACGTCTGCTTCATAACCATCATCAGCTAACACATATTCACCCGTGCTACTGTCATCTACCACACAATCTGGCATTGCTTCCAACGTCATAGACGGCAACTACGACAAAGAATAACATCGAGATGATTGATAAAACCGGTTCACGAACCAAAAAAACAAGAGAAATATAATAAAATTTACCCTGGGACGAGTACACTGTGGTATAGTTTCTTCTTGAGCCGGTTTCAGCATAGAGACCTTCAATAAGGCTTCTACAATGATGGCTAGGCCACGACCCAGTTTGATTCCAGCATCCATCAAAGCTTTTCCCAATTCCATGATTATATCGCAATCGCCTATGTCACAAATTATTTTACACACTACATTACCACAGAAACGACACAGAGCATGTACGTGGAACAGAATGCTAGGTCTGTTACGAGTTGCAAGAACAGAGACATCACTAGCAGAAGATTGTTCGAGATGTTTACCGGTCTCGAGCATTCTATGAACTGTTTTCACGTCCAACGAATTCGCGTAGCTTATTAGGATCTTAATCCGCAGCTGTGAGCGGCGGAATAGTACGTAGGACAGAAACGTACTCCGAATGCTTGTGATTCACGACCGTTATATAAAATACTTATGCTATACTTACACAATGGGGATGTTAAACAGCACGTGAGCAAAGCCTCGAAAAGTCTGTGCGCTGATTTGTTGGTGTCTAAAAGAGAACGAAGAAAAATGTGTTAATATAGATCCAGATAAATATCTGATACAATTCTCTGCTTGTGCGTGTTCGTGAACATACCTGTAATGCTGTCCGTAGCAATACATACGGCCAACGTTTTGAACAGTAGCAAAGAATTTTTCGAGACAGGGTGCGACGACAATTGAGTGCGAAATTTTGGACTGCAGAGAGCAACTCCTGCGGCTGCTTTCCACGCTGCACTAGCTTGATACAGATTTATCTTTCTGTTCTTATTTGCTTCGTTGTCCGTTTCTACGTACAATTCACCGGCCTCAGAATTATCAAATACTTGTGGAAAACATGAAATTTTATTGATCGCTCCCTCGGTTTCATTCCGTTCTTCCTGAGTATTTTCTTGCACTGTACTCCTTCCTTCGACATTCTGTTCGTTTGATTTCGTGCCAGGAACTTGACTAACTACTTGTTCGATATAGTCTTCCTCGATGAAACTGTCCACCGTGTTTTCGAAAATATGCAACAACTCTGCCGTTTCTTTTTCCAGGGAATTAAATAAAGAACTGAGCGCCGGTTTCTCTGCGTCGACGGGATCCGATTCGACGTATCTCGTCTTCCAGATCTCGACGATGACGGTGATTTCCAAGAGAGCGTAGACGTTTCTCGTGAAAGCAACGTCCGACAGGAACGTCAGCGCTTCTTTCAATCCGTTGATCTCCGTGAATCCTTCGCATACCTGCGCGTTCGCGATTAAACAGGACATCGCCGTGAGGCAAGATTGAATGAGAAACTTGGCGGTCGTGTTTCCTTTATCGGCTGCGTAGTAGATTTTAGCGTTCAAAAATGTGGCGTAGAACACTTGGACGAGTAATTCTCGTTTGATGTGAGACTTGGAGCACGGTCCAACTTTCAAAAGATGAGCCATGATGGTGTAGCATAATTTCGGATCGTCCGGTGTTAACAGAACTGTGTAAATTTGGAGAAAATTCCAAGAGCGCTGAGTAGGTCTATCGCAGCAGGGGCATACTTCGGATTCCGAATAAGCGGCGAGTTCTTTGAAGAGGATACGTTCTAAAAGTGCGACAGCCGGAGCGTAAGTGGCTGGATCGTGACGTTTCAACAGAGCAGCGATGCTGGTCATCAGCATACGAGGTGGGAAACAACAACAGGTGCCTGCAGCCGTTGCAACTTTGATCAGTCTGACTTGCAGCTCGCTGGCGAAGGGATGAGAGTCTTTGAGAAGATTAGTAAGCGTGACGAAGAGCGAGGATATGCAGCATGGCTGTTTCATAACAGCACCGACCAGTTATTGACGCAGGATTTGTGTTTCAATCGGTTGCACTGCGCTGTATGGGAAATATCACGTCGAATTGATTTTAAGCCGCTCGTTAACGCACCTATCATATCAATGACCTTTCTGGCGCGGATTACCGACCTCGCCGGATCAACGCTCGGTAGGTCGACTATCGCGAAGATTGTTCTCTCCACGAGCTTTCCGTCTTGACTCTCGTTGAACAGCTGAAACAGTTCCAAAAAGTCGGATAATTGTTCGACAGCGGTGCCCTGTTGATGCAACAGACAATAGAGGAACGTGATAATCCCATAAATGGTAGCAAAGATGAATTCCTGAAGAAGCGAACCTTCCTCCGGTGAAAATACGTTCAACGGTTTGCTACAAGCGTCCTCGAGTAATCTTAACGTCATAGGCAATAGACCGTAATGAATAACAGCGGTGGTCGGTTCGTTCGCTCTCAACACACGTTCCAGGGCTGTAAGCATAAGTCTGGCGGCTGCAGCTTTCAGCGTAGCGGATTCGGTGCCGGTCAAACCGGCACCGTCTATACCGAACTGAAGGGACCATAGCGTGTCCAAGGCAAATTTCAGCACCAACACAGTCGGCGTTTGTTCCGCCGGAGTATCGTAATCTCGTAGACCCTGCAGCAATTGTATAATCAAAAGGCTTGTCTCGAAGTTGCTAATCCTAGCATCTAGAACATCCTTGATTCTCTCGTCGATATAATCCCTAGGCGTTTTCTTCGCCGGCCTTGCGGGAAGCTCGTAAAGCGCCGCTTGCCATTTCTGTTCCTCGTCGCTTCTAACCACGGAGGTGAAGTACTCGAAATCCATAGGATTCAGGCGAATCTTTAGCGTCAACGATCTTGCCTGATCTATACCGTCTGTCAGCAATTCGGACTCGCTGCTCGTGCTTTCCGGCGTGTCGCGACGCGCTTCGAACATTCCAAACGATTTCTGCTTGTGGTGAACCGGCACCTTGCCGGTACCGATACTGTGTCTACGAGCCGCTCTTCTTCTCGACGGTACATTGCCCTCGTATGAGACAGCGTTTCGATTAAATTTCGTCGCCTTGCGTTTCACGTGCGGCACGATATCTACCGTGTCGACGGTGTCGTCGTTGCAGTAGAATTTTACATAAGGATTGCGCGTATTAGCAATCGTCGTAGACTCTCTCGATTCGTTCGATACGGTAGAACGAGCTTGATTGTTCGTGTCCTCTTGAAAAGCAACCGGGTATAAGGCGACGAGGAGAGCGACCAGTTCTCGTCCACAGGAAACACTGCGTACACCGAGTAATTGTAGAACAGCCAAACAACGCCAGCCTCGATCCTCGGCTAGATACTTCCTCAATCCGACAAGTTGGTCACCGTTGATCCTCTTCGCGCAGAGCTCGTGCACGTCGGATAGCAACTCGCAGGCAATAAGGGTAGATACACCGCCGCCGCCGACAGAACTGTAACGGATATTTCCATACTGCGTCTTTTATATTCCTATCTTATCGTTCGATTCAGGTATTCCGTTTATCAGTTTATTATCACTTCCAACACGACCATTGTCCGAGCTAACACGTTCGCGCCGCTATGGAATCTTATTTTCAGTGGGACACGCGATATATACCAGCGAAGTTTTGAAAGTGAAATCACAACTGAAATTTCGACGATGGTAAACGATCGTGTACTGTGACACCTTTTTGTGGTCGATGAGCAAACGGAATCTAGATTTTCCTTTCGATTCTGGTAAGATCTAATGCTAATTTTGACAAATAACTGGCACATGAAAATCGAGAGGGAGGGACGCGAATAAGTAATCGGTAGATAATAGTGTACAGGTGAGTTACACAGAGACGGAGAAACGTCAGCGTTAGTATTGAAACCACAAACACGAGATCATATTTTCATGCTGCGGTCAATGATCGCCGGTTACGTTGTAAAAGTTCTACGCGTTGTTGTACTTCTTTATCTACTTTCTCAGGCGACGATGTTCAAAGTTAGTGGCTGAAGTATGTTACGTGTTAGGGAGAAAATTAAATGGCCAACTAATACTGGCGAATATTTTATCAATTTAGATATGATAGACGTTCGATCGAGTGGTTTGCGTAATCTTACCAAAACGATAGGGCATCTTTCACGTCTCGACCTTCTTTCACTTGGGCCAGTAGTTCGGCGAGAAATATGTCCAGCCAGGATGATTTCTAAACAGAGGAAGAACCCGTTCGACAGGTCATAAGGCGGTATCGTAATTGGGAAATGAAAAGGAGAGATTAGCAACGGTTCGATTGAAACGTCGATAACGGTAACAAATGCTAATTGGTTGTGGCCGAATTATAAATCTCGTCTTATTTTAGAAATATCGCGCGTTTTAGGTTCGATACGGTCAGACGAAAAACAACTCATTACGACAGAGATACGATGAGGAAATGGTAGATACAGGGTATGAAATTCGATAAAAAAAATAAGAGGAGCAAAAGATATTGTTTTCCTTTTCGTATTCGAAATGCAGGCAGATTGTTGCACGTGTCTCTGTGTGCGTAGACGATAAAATAATCGCACTATGTAAAAACTATCCGGCAAAAATACGATTACTTGGCGTTTCCAAAAGTGATTCAACATTAACGAATTATGTTAGAATTTCATTGCAATTTAACCCTTTGTAAGAAAACAGGCAGATCGGTTTTGTTTATCGACGGTTGCATCCTATCGTATTTGTTCGACGCGTAAATACATGATTCACAATGGAAACCACCGTAATCGTTCTATCAACTGTTGATTGTTCGAAGCTCTGTGTCAATTTTGACCAATCGCGATTTCATTTCGTCTGTCTATATTCTACCAAGTTTCGTTTGCGTTTACATGATTGCGTTCTCGATCGTAATCGCCTCGTGTTAGAATTCTTCATCTCGACATTCGAACAAGTACACGCGGGGAAATCGATAGTGTTTACGTTATACGAGACAGAGGATCGCGCATTATTTCGATACTTGCGGCAAAGTATCGACAAGCAAGTTGCGCGTAACTTGTAAGTCATCCCGGTAGGATCGTAAGGTGGTGTTGAACCGTGTAAAACGGCCGGCGGTGATTACGAAATCCCGCTTAGTGGGACACGGCAAAAGGTGACTTAATGCGAATGCGTTTGAAGAAAACTTGTCGGTGTCGAGTAGTGATTAACGTTTACGTTGTATAATTAGTATTAAAAAGAGAAAGGATAAAGCGTCAAGGTAAATCTGCTATCGTTACCAGTTGCTTCGATAGAGAATCTCTTTTGTTCTTTCGTTTCTCAATCGATACTGTGGCAAGCGGTGAATTTTAGTCGAATTGATAAACGACGTTTAAAGAAAGTGTGTAAAGAGGAGAATGACGTGTGATCCTACAGGCGGAGATCATCTCGTATACCTCGTAACTCTGCAGTTCTGCATGAATGAAATGATCCCACAAAATCTGGAGCTTGTTGGTCGAAGCGGAAGACATTCCTAGACGTTCCTCGTATTCCTTCTCGTCCTCTTCCTCCCTGTCCTCGGTTCTCAAACGCGTGTCCTCCTCATAGCTCATAAGCTCGTCGATGCTGAACCATGGGTAGAAAGTGTCCTCGTGTATCCTTCGAGGATCACTACCGGAACACATAACCCGATCACCTGAAAGATCGAGATCCTTAGCCGTTTCGACGTTTCGACGTTCCGACAATGCACGACGAAGAGAGCACTGCGTGGTCGCGCATTTAATTGTTAAATTGGTACTCAGATTGTGAGTATCCTTCGGTCGGATTGCCGCAGCTTCGACAACCTCGCGTTTACAACACATTGTGCGCCGCGGCTTCTCTCACTCGCATACATACGCCTATGTACACGATCTCTGTGTGCGTTCATGTCGATCAACTATAGCTTACATAACATCCCCACGAGTCCACGACAGACCAGTTTTCAGCCTTCCACGGGAAGCCTGAAAGCTTCTCAGTCCACGAAGCACGGCCCAAGGGAGAGCAGTAACCCCGGTTTCAAAGACTTCTGCACGCTGTCGTCGCCACTACCATCACCACCACCACCACCACCACCACCACCGCCATCGTGGCTACCAATACCACTGGAACGTGGTGACACAATTTGTCGCAGCTAGTTCTGTTAGCACAGCAACACCAGAACCCGGAGTCTCTGCAAGCATCGGCAGTTTCTTATCAGCCGATTTACTCTCTTGTGCCGCACGACGTTGTACCTCCTTATCGCTCGCGCCTCTCTCGACCGTACGACTAAACGCCTTCTCTCTGTACCTCCCCACGATCGACTCACCCAAAAATTTATCCTTTTATTACACACTTTTCTACCATTCCCCCAACCAGATTTCCTCTCGACAACCGATATACACGCAGAGACGATGCTCCCGGCGATTCTTCCCCCAACAATCGGAGAAGCATTTGCAACACCGTTTAGACCACCGTCGAGTTCACCACCACCCGGGGATCACGACCTCTTCCATGTGATCGGTCTGTCGTTCCGGTCAACTAACGATGATTTACGAGTTACTCGGTATTAGAAGCGGCAGAGCAAGTTATTTCTCGCAAATTTGCTTCCGAATCGAACGGCGATATCGATGTTCCTTTTCTCGATCGCGTATTTATTAACGGAGAGAACCAACGATCATCTTTTCTTTAGCAATGTCTCGCATCGTTGCCACGCGAATTTTACGACGCGATCGAACGCGTTGGCAAACCACTGCAAGGCTACTTTGCCGTCTGATCTGGATGAGTTTTCACATCGAGATCCACGTACGAACTGTCCAGCACGCGACAAAAGGAAGGGGCAAGCTAAGAGACGAGCCTCCCGTGGGTCAAAGAGGCCTCCAATCGGCTTCTTTCTTCGATGAAAACTTATGATTCACGCATCGCTAATGTCCCTCCCCTGTGCCACGAGGAACAGAAGGGTACGCAAACCCTCGGCAAGGTAATAATGTAGTACAGTGGCCGCAGAAATACAGCGTGGTCGTAAATCAACTCGTCGAGTGGCTGCACCGATTGATGCCGCGGCGCACAGAGACCTTACGTGCTTTGCAATTGCACTGAAATCGAAAAAATGATCGACCAACGGTAGTTCGTTGTACGAGGAAATTGTGCGTAATATTTGGAACGTCTGAAAGAATCTGAACTTTTCCGGAGGCTGTTGTCGGTAATAGGTTGCAACGGAAAAATCATTGTGCGCCTACTTTGTTCCCCGAGTCGTTGTTTTGACGCTCGAAACGTCTGTACTTTACCACTCGACTGATTTTAGGACCGCGCTATTATTTCCGACCGTGTATCTTCTCTCTTGATCATTCGGATTAGTATATTTTCCCCTCGTCTTAACAGGTATACCATTCAACAGAGTTGCGAAATGGTAAATCCATTGAACTCGTTCACTAGCGTGTACTCGTTATCTTCCTAAGAAACGTAAAGAAACGTAAATAAGAACGATACGGATATTGTATAATATTTCCATTTCGTGAGAATTTCATAAGCAAGGAGAAACGAGTGTAATACTATCTTGTTAAAATTCTATGCAACGATATATCTGTACATATTGTGCACACGTTCGAATTTGTAGGTTTACATTGGTGAAACGAACGAAACGGTATTATATATTTATCGGTTTTTACCACGCTTCCCCTCCGCCCTCCGCCCCACCTAGCGAAACTAGCAAGTAGCTACTCGGACAGAGAGAGAGTCTGGCAAACAATGATAACTGCGAACACGTGCAAACAATTGGAAACAGTTTCAGTAGACACCAGCCGGGCAGGCGTGCAGTTGTAATTGTCGATCAATCTTTGACTCGTATAGACGAGTCATTATTGTGCCGCATGATTATCTTAATGGAATTCTACCCCACCGTTCTTTAATTAGCCTCGCCTCGACAGTGCGATAATGGTGTTCATCCGCGTCTTCTTGTTCGCGAAAAACCAATCGATATTTCATCTCGCGTGTTTCTGTGAAAGAAAGAAGTAGACTGTAACGTGATATTTAACACCACAGAGATAACGATTGCGTGAAGAAAAAAAAGAAAAAGTGTCCGTATTGTTTTTATTTAAATAAAAGTGATTGGCAAAAACTTTCGGTGGTGGATGATCGTCGTGCAGTCACAGGTCGAAAAACAAAAACAAATTGTACTAGATCGTTGATCGTCGTTAATGGTAATGTACAAATTGACGCACGGTTAAAACGTTACGCATGTCCTCGCGATGTAACCTCAACGACGTGTTTCGTTTTCTATGCCTCACCAATACAAATTAAGCTCGCATTATCTTGACCTTGACTTTTATATTCCAATCCAGATTAAAGAGCTATTTCAAAGACGATTTTTCCCAAATTGACGATTGCGCTTTCCTCGAATCGATCGATGAATATTCCTCTAAAAATAATTCTATTTATATGGCTAACTATTATTACTCTTCGCTTAACGCTTTTAACTTTTTGTCCATTATTTTTTCTATAACCCCAACGAGAACATTGTATTACCAAAGAACAAACAGTAAACAGAGATAAGAGTTGACCTTCGATGTTTCTTGCATTATGCTGATGATTCGAGATATTTCAACATTTTTTTTCGAAAAACCTTTCCCGCTCAAGTTAACTGCATTTTCAACTACGTCACATTCCTGCCATGCGTATCGCGTTTGCGATTTCGTGCACAACTAGATTATAGGAAATGTCACTTAGGACAACGACGAGCATGTAAAACAAGATGGCAATACCTTCGAGAAAGTTAGGAACGATTGTTTCAATCGGCTGTGAAGTATCCATTACCTGAGTTCTATCGAGTGAATGGAATTCCATGCGAGAATTTTTTAACGATAACTCACAAGTTTTAGATTATTGGAATAACAACATTGACACCATTGTTCTTTCGTACTGTATATACAAAGCACATACGATAACCTCTATTGGGCACTGTTATTGTCGCCCTCATAGTGATTTTTGCGCCATTTTCAAAGTCATGTCAGACGATTTTTAAATAAAGATGCGTAATACGTAAAAAAAACATAGAAAATGTGAAAGATGCTTTGTTTTATTAGATAATCTTCTCCTTAAATCAGCTGTTCGGTTCTTCGTTGTGACAGTTTTAAGGCAATTTTAGTTGAATAAAAGCTATTCGTGTCTATCGAAACAATGGTTCTCGATTGAGGAAAAATATTTCTAGATAGTGATTAAAAAATTGGCAATTTTTATAACTACCAATTTTCATTATATTTATATTACTTTAAAAGGTGCTGCCACCTGCGCTTACGCGCGACATTTTCAACAATCGTTAGACTGAAATTTTACCTTAGTATGAAGAACGACGTTCCGTGAAACGATTCTAACCTATGTTTATTTCCGTGTTCTTCCATCAATTCTCCATGCAAGTGTGAACGTATTTCTTTGACGTACAATTATTAATATAAAGATGACTGTGTGGGAAAGACTGCGAAATCCTTGTGGTTGGAGAGCTGGTGCCAAACAAATTTCAGTCGACGCAATGATACCGATATTTGCGGTCCCGTCATTAGCAGTAATAGCCGCACAAACCGTGCTATCTACTGTAATTATATTTGTTGCAACACCAATATTGGTGTATTACTTGCACCACAATTTCCTGAGATTTCTACTTCGTACAAAATTTTTTTTAATGTGGACTATTACAAGTGTAGTCATGTTGATGCTGATTTTTGAAATAAGTGTTGTACCACTATTAGAAATCTTACCAGAAGAGAATTTAGTGTTCATAACGTGTGTCGTAGGCGGTATATGGTGCGGCTATATGACTAGATTAAATGCAGATTCTGCTACTCAGGAAACTACTTTAACCCAAGGTTTAGAACTTGGTGAAGGAAGCGGAGAACTTTGTATTACTTGTAGGAGAAGAGCACCTCCAAAAGCACATCATTGTCGAATGTGTCAGACGTGTATCCTCAATAGAGAATATCATTGTAAATGGTACAGTTCTGCTTATGCAAAATGCAAGTCTTATTTAATCTAACAACATAGATATATTTTAGGCATATATTTTATATTTTAGGTTGGACTGTTGTATAGGTTCCAGCAACTTAAAATGGTATTTGGGATGTTTATTCTTCTCAGCTATAGCTTTCATCTATGGTTCTAATTTAACCATGACTAGTGTATGCCATCCTTTTATACTTATCGGCACTGTCCTTTTGCCAGATGATTGCAGCGATGTATATCATCAATTAGAGTATGTATTGCTTAGAAAACATTTTATATTAAATGTGGTCTATTAAATTAGTAGAGAACATATAATCTGTAGAAGTGAATAGTATCAGGGGTATGAAATTAAACTCAGGGGAAATACAACACTTTCTAAACTGGAAAGATACAGAGGATCTACAATGCAAACTGTAATAATTGCAAGATACTGATAATTGTCGAGACTTGTGTTAACGTCGTAAATATTGTAATATCTCTTATTTGCTTTCTGACAATATAAAAGTTGAATAGATAACTATGCCTCGCAACTGTTTGCTTTGGGTACCAGATCGATGTATAATAATGTACATATTGTTCCAGCATTGCCCTTTGCTTCATCTCGGCACTCTACAGCTTGCTTGTTGGGCTAGTGGTAGTTTGTTATTTAATGTATCATCTTTGGTTAATTTACCTTGGTACAACATCCAATGAAAGACGCCTTCTGGAAACTGGAAGCCCGTATGACCATGGGATGTTGAAAAACGTATCCCGATTATTTTGCTGTAAAACTTAGATATTAAATGTACACTAGATTATTAAATTTACTTTGTATGGAAGATGATACTTTGCACTGTGCAAAGGATATTAGAAAATTCGAACAATGAGGCCAAAACATCGGGCATAGCGGTATGTGAAAGCAGAATGTACACTTTAATATTAGTTCCAATGCATCTACCACTGTTAACATATTTTAATGCTCATCCTTCTTTTTTTTTATACTACTAATAGGCTTATGCTATTGCTCATGATATTGAACTTAATGAAAATGTATTATGACATATAAACACTAATCTCAGTTAAAGACTTAGTTAATTTTATTTTATTATTGTACACATCATTTGTATATTTATTGTAACTGAGATAAAGTGACCATTGTATAACTAACGCAATAAATTATATTACTCAATTATGTATAGTATATCTAAGCTTTAAACTTAAAATAATTAAGTGTGATAAATGTTTACATTTTTTCTATACAAAATAATGTAAAAATAATAACAGTCTTTGTGTCATATAAACTTAAAACCTGATGCAGTCTTTGTATTTTAATTTTAATCTTATTGATTAACTTTAATCCTCCAGTGCTACACCCCTCTGTTTAGGATCAAAGTCAGGAATCACTTTTTGCACCAATTGTCTCAATTCATCTTTCCTCTTCTCGCTTTCTTTAATATCTTCGGCGATCACGAGATACTTCTTCCACAAACCAAAGTACCTAGCTTTTAATTTATTTTCATAAATACCGTCAGCTAACTTTCTTTCTTCTTCAGATTTTGCTTTAAGTTCAAGGGTTGTTATTCGCCATCTCTTAAAATACTTGTCTAAGACTTTCATATCGTGAAAGTCCATTGCAACTTGATGTTTTAGATTCACTTCTTTAGCCATCTGTCTCCATTCCTTAAACATTCTCGTCGTTAAATTTCCGTTACAGAACGATTCGGCTATTTCAACTCTCGTTTTACACCGAATTTCCGTCTCGTTTCTCCACGTTGCAAATATTTTCCTCGTCAATTTCTCTCTGTAATGATCTTCCGCTTTTTTCATATTATACTTTTTTTCTTCAAGAAGCATCGCGAAAGGTTCCATTATGTAACGTCGTAGAAGATACTTTCGATAAAATTCATCTGCCAAATTGTTCAATCTTTGAAACATTTCTGTTTCACATTGTCGCTTTCGTTCTTGTTCTTTTCGTAATCGTCTGACCTCGGCCAAAGCCTGTCGAATAAAAGAAGAGAAAAATTTATGTCACCATTTCAAAGCAGTTTGTATGACAAGTATAGTCGATGGTAATAAAAAAAAAAGGAAAACACACTATTGCAGATATAACAATGCCTGCGAGGTGTAATTGATGCTTATGACACTTGGTATGACATTAATATACTTTGACCTCTTATATTATCTGACCTCTTGTTGTAATCTTCTTTTCTTCTGTTCCTCCTCCATTCTAGCAGCCTCTTCCTTTCTTTTCTGTTCCTCCTGCTTCTCCCTGCGTATCTCTTCGGCCAATTTCACTCTTCTTCGTCTAGCCTCAGCCCGAGCTTCCACCCTCAACAGAAATTTCGGTGGATCCGATGCTAGTTGAGGTATCGTGAAACTTTCGTCTCTTTTTAGAAACACGATCGTCATTATAAATCTCTTCGTCAATGTAAAAGCTTAAATTGTCTTGGAAACTTACGTTACCTGTATCCATTTTGTTGCATCAATTGAATCAACGTCCTCCTTGTTTTTTGCCCAAAATGATTCAGTGTCTCTTTGGCTATATCCACCGTCTCCTTATTCGCTCTGGATATGTCCTTTTGCATCTGTTTCAATTTCAATTCCTCGATGATTCTGTTCTGCTCGGCCAATTTCACTTTCTGCCTTTCTATTATTTGCTTCTGAGCATTCAATCGACTTTGCGCTGGCGATTCGACAATAATGCGTTTACAATATGTGCTTTTCTTTCTCGTATCTGGTTTGTTCCATTCTTTAACCATCGGACAGCTATCTTTCGTCCTTGATTTCTGACTCTTCATCATCTCTCTTTGACGTTCGGTAATTGCGTTTATAAACATCTCGATTCTTCGTTCTTCAATCACTTCCGGTTCCTCTTTTCGCTTCTCCGCGTTATCTCTCGCGTCTCTCGCACGCATTCTCCAAATATCGAAGTATTTTCTCGTTATCTTCGAGACCGTGCTCTGTCGAATCTTCGTCCTGATCTCACGGAAACGACGTTCTTCTCTAGCGTTCTCTTTCAAAACGTCGAAATATTTCCTTAAAAGAAGCAAACGTTGCGTTTCTGTCGTCACGTTAGTTTTGTCTTTAATCGTCACTTTTATACTTCCAATCCCTTCCCATTCCGCCTCCTCTTTACTCCTCCCAACTTCCGCTTTCAACGAAGATTCATTGGTTTCCGTTACCGTGGTCTTCTTCCGGAAAAGCTCTGTTCTCTCGTTACTAATATTCTGCAAAGAATTTTTTATACTCTCGATTACAGAATGAAGATATACCTTAAAATTACCTGAAACTCATATCGACCTTGTTTCTCAATTTTCTGGACGTTCTCCAAAACTCTTCGTCGTCAGACGGTGCAAAGTTTCCCCCTCTTTTGCACGTATAGGCTTTCGAGAACTTCGGCCGGGATTTGCTCAACTCCATCTCGAATCTCTTCAGTTCCCTTTCGAGAAATCGTTGCTGCTTCTTCATGTACGATTGCGTCGTTTCTTCCTGCGTCAATAATCTACGAAGTTGTATTTTGAAACGAAAATTCGATATATCTTTCGTCTTTATTACGTTAAACTGTGTCATACTTTTTTGCTTCCGCGAAAACGGAAGCTTTCGCGGGCGAAACGGACAAATTCTCACGGAGTATTCGATGCCTCGTATCCATTATTATATTCGGATCGAGAAACGTTTTGTCCTCGTCTTTTAACATCCGAAGTTTCTCCGATGGATGAAAAATATCTACTTTCATCATCTTGTCCATCAGATTCGTCACATCGTTCATGTGCACCATGATTAGATTTGCGTACGAGTGAAATAAGCGATGGTAGTTTTACGTCTGTTTCGAGTAATATATCAAAAAGGTATACCAGACTCTTGTTGACGCGTTGTTGCTTCGTTGTTAAGGAAAGTTATGAAAGATATCCCCTATACACGCACGTGAACGCTCCAACCCCCATTCATAAATTGTGGGGTGGAAATAAGCGGTGACAAAATATTATCGACTTTATTTCATATCGTTGAAAAATCGATTTATGCAATACTTGTGTATTGTCGAGAATTTGTCAATGTATAAGATCGATTTTATTAAAATATAGTTCATGTTGTTAATAGGTCAATGATAGCTTAATTAATATTAGCATTTCTTTCATAAAGGATAATTTTAATTGATCGGTATCACATAGGGTATTTAATAATAATAGATTAATTGTTTAAAGTTTTCAAATTATACATGCGTAGAAAGTAAATTATTTTGAATGTATTAGTTTAAAAGGTATGCGTTATTAATTTTATCCGTTAGTTCGAAAATTTCCCGCCATTTCAGTGGTTCTCAATCAACATTATGAAACTGATAACGTCGATTGTTGACGAACCAGTGAGCTGCAGCAGGTGCATCAGAAGGCAAAAAGTGCATCGACTTCGAAAACTTATATATTGAAGATGGTAAGTCTTCGTTTCTGCAGGACATAAAAATCAAAGCAGTATATATTTGCTTGTTCTCTGTTGTGGCTGTTATCGTAGCTATCCAGCGATCCTATAATCGTACAAATGTAATCAATCTACGGTTAAAGAAATCGAATTTCTCCAATTTTACTTTATCCACTATCAATGGATTTCATTGTAGTTTCAAAGCATGATTTTAACAGGTTACGGATGTTGTAATATTCCTGGTACACGACGAGAAATAAAATGGATCCAAGGGGCCCTCCTGAGGGGGCCCCTGCTAACTCTTTTGAGATACCTAATATTGATAAAGTGTCTGACACTTCGGTAAATTGGCCCACTGATCATTCACTTCCTTCATCAATGTGTGAGCAATCTAAAAAAATGAATAATAATAAATTGTTATTTTTAACTGTAAGTAAATTTGTAAGGCTATCATTTGGTTGGTGTTTTATGGTGCATGACATTTGATGAAATTATTTTGTTGATAGGTGGAATATGTGGAAGATCAATCGCGAGAATACTCTCGTTTATTTCCAACATACGAACAAGTATCCTTTTCCCCTAGGCCGTCATCTCCTCTTTCTGATTTTGAACATCGTGTTAGTCCTCTTGACCCAAATATGAGTTCAGCTGCTAGATATTCTCCTACCCCGGTGCAACTTCCCCCATCTCCTTTTCATAATTCTGTTGTGGTACTACAAGGTTCACCTTCTCCTTTAATATCCTCATCTGAGTCAAATGAAAGAGCAAATGTGAATTATGTTTCTCAATTGACGCATCCAATTGATGCACAGAGTGTACAACAATCAGATACTACTGCTGACTTTGTTGCCAATGAGAATGAGGAACAATTAGTATCTGGTGTTGGTAGTGAATTGATTTTGATGCAAGGTAAATCTTATCCAACATTGTTCTTAAGTAGAGTATGATTTCAATTCTACTATATTATATTCTTAAAATACATTTGTAGAATCTAATTCTGGATTAGAATCAGCAACAGCCCCATTAATGCTAACTGGAATGCCAAGTACAGATTTTACATTAAGTAGAGATTTTCTTGTTATGCAAGATGACCAAATGAATGTCATGAATTCATTTAAAACACAAAATCTCGATGTGGATGATTCTACGCATATTTCATCAACTTCAGAAAGTTCAAACAAAAAAAATAATGCAAATTGTTTAGCTGCATCTAAGGAACCAGAAATTAACGAAGTTTTAATGCCCAGAGAAGAGAAAAAGGAGTGTGAAAAACAGAATGTTAGACGTTCTAAACGTCGTATAAATGATAAAAAAAATTTCTGTAAGTACATCTTACTGTTTTTTCATATGGGTGATAGTAGATTGAGCCTCTGTTCTTTTATAGGTTGTGACGAATGTGATGATGTATGTACTGGTGATAATTGCACATCACATAATGTGTGTACAATAGCAGATCAACCAGTACCATCACGTGCTATAGCAACACTGCCAGGATCATATCTTTCCATAAATAAATTACCCAGTTCTGAAATTGTATCAGGTGGATCAGATTATGGTGTGTTTGCAAAACGTTATATACAAAAACGTACTCAATTTGGTCCTATAGAGGGTATCTTATATCCCTATGATGGTACACCATTTAAAATTGAATTGCCATTGCTCTATGAAACTGAAAATAAAGAATTTTTAAAAGTAGATGTTTCAAATGAAAGTAAGTGTACCTATTGTACAGAATAGTATTCAATGCATTAAAAATATTAATGTTTAAAATGTCTTCTATTCATTATAGATGCTTCAAATTGGATGCGTTTCGTTCGACCCGCATTAACATATAAGGAACAAAATTTGGTAATTTGCCAACAACGCGACGGAATAGTATTTTTGACTACAAAGAGCATTTTACCAAAGGAAGAATTAAGGGCTGGTCCTAGTACTGATTATGCAATTCGTAGAAATTTAGTACCACTTAAACCTATACAAGAAACAAAAGATGACAAAGGTATATAGGATTCAAATATAACAGTTTCAATTGTATTTATATTTATACAATTTCCAATTACAGAGCACAAAAATCAATTATCTACATGGTCACGATTAGACGATAATCATTCCCGACGTATGAAAGTATTTCGCGGTAGAAATTTAAAAGAGAAAGAAAATTCAAGGCAAAATAATTCTAAGGAATGGAAATGTTCAGTTTGTTGTTTGATCTTTAGAAAACCGCTTTTACTTAATTTACACACTTTTGTTCATGGCACTGATAAAATAAAAACTAAAATTCAATCTACCGTTTGTCCGCAATGTGGATTACAGTTTCAAAAACAAAAAGAATTGATCAATCATATTTCACAGCATGGGAGATTATCTTTAAAGAAAGCAAAAAGATTGACTTCTTTATCTACGTATAAGTGTTCAATGTGCTACAAACGTTTCGCAACGAAAGTGCGATTGCAACAGCACTACTTAGTGCATGGTGCTGAAGACCAAAAACCACTGCCATGCAACATTTGTTTTAAAAGATTCATGAATAACTCAGCTCTCTCTTGCCATTTAAAAACACATAGAGGTAAATTAACGGTTACGCTAAAGAATCTTAATCTTAACTAGAAAAAAGGTTTACTGCTAATTATATCTACTTTTTTTTCATTCAGAGAATAAACAAGTATTTGAATGCCCAATGTGCCGACAGCTATTTAGTCAAAGTATGACGCTAAAAGATCATATTGAAACTCATAAAAAGGAAGATGGAACATTTACCTGTCCCTACTGCCAAAGAATATTCATTAAATATTCGGTTATTCGTAAACATATTAGAGCACATCACTGTGAAAGAAAGCATAAATGTCAAATTTGTGCAAAACGATTTGCTACAGTTGATAAATTACAAATGCATTTACTAAAACATTCTGATCACAGGTATACTAAGCTTTATACCCTATACAAAGTTACACTATATCTATACATTGTAATGCATTTTCTTTCCTTATAGAGAATTTCATTGTGCAAATTGTGGCAAACAATTTAAACGAAAAGACAAATTAAAGGAACATATGACTAAATTACATAATTCACAAACAGCCACTGAAGAACAAATGACACAAGTTACACAAACTAAAAAATTTGTTCCAAAGGTATTGTGCCCCTTTAACATGAATTTTTTAAGTAAAAACGGAATACATTTATTAACAGTTTAATTATGTATTATTAACAGGTAAATCCTAACGATTACAACCGTTTTATTTACAAATGTCATCGATGCCTAGTAGGTTTTAAGCGAAGGGGAATGCTTGTAAATCATTTGGCAAAACGTCATCCTGATGTGGCACCAGAATCTGTACCGGAATTGAATTTGCCAATATTACGTCAAACGAGAGATTATTATTGTCAATATTGCGATAAGGTATAATATGATTTCTCAGCAAAATGCGTCGATATACATTTTGATATTACTTTGTATTACTTTGTTTTTTTTTAAGGTCTATAAAAGTAGTAGCAAACGTAAAGCACATATCATGAAAAATCATCCGGGCGCTGCTTTACCACCAAGTAACCGACATAAAGAATCGGATTATTCTGATTTACCAAACCCAACATTTAGTCAAACGGTTGGTAGTATTACAACTACCCCTCAGAGTTGTCAATGGTGTCATAAGCAGTATGCTAGTAAGGTAAGTTGCACAAAACCTCTTCTTTTTTTTTTCACTTGGTAAACTTTGAACATTTAACGGTTTCTTTTGTTTTTTAGGCAAAACTTTTACAACATCAACGAAAAAAACATTCCAATTTAATGGAACCGGCCGATCAAGTACCGCGTTCGCGTAATCGACAACCACAAAATCAAAATCAACCCCCCGTACTTATCGAAGATCACTTCGTATTATCTGATTACATCCAAGCGTGTGAAACAAATTCAGATTTTTTTAAACCACGAATAATCAAAATATCTGACGATGTTGATTTAATAAGCAATGGATTAGAAATTGTTGGGCAACAGTTTGTTCGTATGCGTGACATACGCTGAAATGATCAGTGGCAACCTCAACGGGAGGTTTTGTCCATTTAATGAGATATGAATCTCATGAGTTTGTGCACAGTGAAGAAACACTGTGCTTTTTGCTGCCGCTGCCAAATAAGGGCATCGTTGCCTTTAAGGAGAGTAATTGATTCTCCGCTGGGAAATATTTGGAGCGCGCGGCTTGGTTGGCGTCAGTGCGAAACACTGAACGCTATTTTGTTGGTTGTATGGTTGACAATGATGTCATGACCGTGATTTGGTCATAAACTTTGAAAAATTTGTTGGAACGGAGTACACACTATTTTACGAATACTTTGAGCCCCCAGGGCGAAACAAAGAAGAAGATTTAAATGTTAAACACACAATGGGAAACACATACATGGAGACTTAAGACTTAAACACAATGGGAAACATGTTAGTTATTGAGATCTTTTGCTCAAGGTATTAACAAGTACAGAGCGCAAAAAAAAAAGAAAGGTAGAACAAGTCCTCTTACTGTCGGCGCATCGCTGACATTAATTCTAGTAGTTTCTTTTAAAATTTCGAAAAAGCTTCAATTCGATGTGATTCAATTATGGATGTTAGAGTGATCGAATTTGAGCTTCAAGTTTAAAGTGAAATTTAAACACGGCTTAAATTTGAAAAACATGATGAATCTTAGATCAGTGTAATCTCGTCTAATACGATGTGATTTTTTTTTATAGACCTGATTGTAGTATCTACATGTTACATCTGACTTTGATGATAAAACAGTTGTCTGTAGATTACACAAAATGTTGTAGTCTGTAAAGAATCGCCCAATCTCTCTCTCTCTCTCTCTCTCTCTCTCTCTCGCTCTCTCTTTATTGTAATTTATAACTTTCTGTCATAATTGCTCGTATCTATCATTCTCGTTCAGGGAAAAGGTATCTGTATTTTCGGTCTTAGATTCCCGATCAGTCGGATTCTTCTCTGCGCGAACTTCTCAGAATGCCTAGTTTCACTCATACAAATTTAGTATGACAATTTTGCATCCATCATACTCATCGAATTGAAATATCTGATTGGAGTTGAAGGTATTAATAGTTACCTAGGCAAGAAAAAACTTTTGTCTTTGTAATTTTTATGATGCATGTAAAACCAATAACATTGAAAGGACAGACTCTCATGTGCACTTTATCGATTCGACAAATTATATTCACACAAAATATTATATGAACATTACAAATCATAATTTCCTAAATGTAATTTCGTATATCACAGATTGGCAGGAGGATTTGAAAAATTTTTTTACATGCATTATATGCACATTATATGACAAATATTATGGCAAAGCGAAGACAAAAGAATGCATGTTTGTTAATGTTGTTGAGTACATGGAGAATTGTATTGTAACGTGACTTAAATAAAGTTACTCGATGACTGATCTATGAAGAATTTACTGTACTGAAATATCGAATCCTGCGATGTAAAGATTTTCTACAAGACTAGATTCGCTACAAGAATACTTCGTATTTCTTCCTTAAGTTAAAGCTATTACGTTTATCTAATTTGTGTTTTAAAAAAGAACAATTAAATTCGTACCGTCGATTACAGGAAAAAAAAGTATTGAACGAATTGATGTTTTTTTGTTTTCGTTGATTCCACAATATTTTTACCTCTTTCTCGAAATTTGACTTTTAAATTTTTCACTGACAATAGCCAAAGGGCCAACAGCATCAGGTCTAAAACCTACCGCGCTAGAAGCGGTCGCAATCGAAACACCATCTTTTTGTAACTGAGCCATTTCATCTAACTGTTTTTGCATTACAGTCAAAGTAACCTTGTTCGCTGAGAAAAAGTCCTGCATGGAAATCATCTCTCCAGACATCCTTCTTGGCGTTTCCGAATGATCTCCTTTAAAGGAATCCCTTGCAGCTATCCTTGTTCCTCTTCTCTTTGAAAAATACATCGTAGAGACGGAGGATTTCCTTCTTGGTAAATGTACTGCGGCCATATCTTGATTTCTACATTTTTGTACTTTTTGTATAATGTAATTTAATCCTTGTTTTATTACAATTGAGGTTACGTTCAATAAAGAGTACGTGCTGCAGCAGCCGATCAGTAGAAATGTAAAGTTAGCGAAACGGTACCTGTGCATACGAAGAAATTAGTGTACCTATCAGTGGCTACAGTGTATGCTGCTGCCAACTCTACAATTTCACGGAACGTACCAATAAACGTAGGGATAATGCAGTTTTTCTGTGCTAACGAAGTCACCGAAGCCAATAGTCGCAAAGCTAACGAAACAAAAGTAAAGAGCATCGAAGTACTCCCAATCCTCGAATGGAGCGTAAACCGCAGCAGCACAGCAAGCTACCGTACAGCATACTACCGTTAAAAGAAGCATAACCCAATATACGCTTGGCTTCCACTCGTCCAGGTCTAAATTCTCATCGTCGTCGTCGAGTATATCAGGCAAAGAAGATTTCTCATTCTTGGACGAGCTGAAGGATCGACGACGAGACGCTACCAAGTTTTTCGAGATGCGTCTTTTTAATCGGTGAACGTGTATGCTTCGTAAAATCCAAGCTAGTAAGGTGATGGCCCTCTCCAGAAATAAGTTGAAGAATAAAATTCCACCTGTATCGCGAGAAGGCAGTTTTTATAATAAATGTACAATAACGTTCATTTGTAATGAATGTATCATTTTATTACCGGAACAACCGAGAAAGCCATACAGAACAGCGGTTACTTTACCCGCTGTTGTCTGCGGTGTAGTATTTCCGTATCCTGAAAAAAATGAATCGAGAATCAGATCCATAACTTTCTTTGATATTAAAAGGAATATACGGACTGAAACATGCTGGAGAGGGTAAACTGGAAGGCAAGACTAGGTCGCAAGATATTAACATTCTGGAATTCACTGGTGCATTCTCATGCGTGCAACGGGCGTCGACCCTTACCCCTTTATTCGATGCTATTATGACCAAGTTTCGCGCGATAATACGGTCGTCAATAAATTCATTTTTAAGTGGGTTATCGGAAAATAACCAAACTCGCAAGATACGAAGTATATAGGACGAATGTTGCAAAATATTTCACAATTATATTGATGCACTCGTAAACGCAAAATTTTCCAAAAAGGAATGCAAAAGAGGAGAAACATAACTGGAAGATAAAGTATATTATGTGTGTCTCGCGTTCCACTGACCCATTATTCCAGTTCACTTGCATCGTAAGACAAAATGTTTTGAGTACCAAATAGGCCACGATATATTTATTTCTTACCAATCGTGGAAACGATTGTGCCCACGAAGTGAAAGCTGCCAGGAAAATCCCATCGGCGGTTCTTGTTGATGAAGCCGGAGGACGAAGCGTTTCCGTAAGCGTATAACAGCTCGTCCAGCCTCTGAAGAGCAACTGGACCACTTTGCAAATGATGTCTTCGAAAAGTATGGTATACGCGCCAAAATTCTGCAGCCTGTATGATGAACGGAAGTTGAATATATGTATACACATGTACACACTGTAACTTAGTCCACGATACTTTCACCTTTACTTTATTTTAAACAATGCACACTTTTGCGAACATAAACAGAAGAAAAAATTTTGAAATTTCAATGGACAAAAGCTTGTTAAATAAAAAAAAAATAGTTTCATACCTGTCGCGTTTCAAGGTCAGCTTCCAGTCGTTGAAAAAGTGCAGCGCCTGCCAGCATGTACACCGCCAGGACAATGAAAAGAAGGATGAACCTTGCGTTGTCCTCTCCGAGGCAAGTGCACACGCACATCACCGATGATTCTCATCTCTCCGGACACAAGTGACTAGTTGCGATCCCCACCTTTACTTTTCATCCGGGTTGGCGCAAACTCAGCGACGAACATCCGCGAAGATTTACAGATACATCTCGTCGGCAAAGATTACAAAGATACATCATTTAGAAGCTATCTCGAGTCCTCTTTTTACACATACGATCAATGTTCCATGCTGTATTTTCGATGAAATTGTCTCTAATTTACTATAAACACTTGTCGATATCTTTGGAATTTTATGAAAATGTTACATGCTACAATTTCGATTGCATTATTTAAACAGTACAAGTTGTATTTATTTTATTTAATTTTGCATGGTGAAATTGCAACGCGAAACGATTCGTAAGCTGAACCGTAAAAAAATATAGAACAGTAGCGTGTAGCACTAGGGAAAAAAAGTGTCTTTGAGACGCTAAAAATAGAAACGAAATCAGTAATAGAAAATGAGACCCTTTTGTGAAAAAGGGGTGTAGAGCAAACTCTATACTTTGGACCGCACGCTTAAATGCGCCAAGGTTCTGCTTTGTCGCGTACTTTTTCAATGAAACGTAGTTCGCAAGGGATGGAGGATTTGTGAGATGTGTGAAAGTAAATCATACCGAGTTTATAATAAAAAATAAAGTTTGTTAACAGTTTATGTAGGCGATCTAACGGCATTACGACATTTATATAAATACTGCAAACTAGGCACGTTGACTCTTACATCGAAATACTTGTAGGTACATGCGTATAAATCTATGAAATTCATAACATTTGCATTAATTACTATAATACTATTACATACGCTATCCGAAGAAACGGATTGCGCAACAACGTTTACAATGTGATTCAACGAATCACGCTTACAGTTTGAATTATCAATGCCTCGTTTGTGGACCTTCCTCCAATTTCCGCCAAACAACCTAAGAAACACATTGAAAGAGTTATTTCTCCGTTCCTTTTGGAAAAAAAAAAAAAAAGATCCCAACATCCACACGTTTCACTTACATTGCACATTTCTCTAACCAAAGCCTTTTCACCGTCGTGGCCACCTTCTCTTTCAAGCTGTTCTCTAACTTCAAGAACCTGAAGAGCTCGTACCACAGCTTCCGGTCGACCTCCTATGTGAGGATTTTCTCCTGGACTATTTTGATTATCCCAGATTTCACCGGGTGGTACTTCCCAACCTTGGGCACGTGCTTGTAGAACACTTTTATCTTCTTCCAGTTGTTTCACCCGTTGCTCTAGACTCCTTACATACTGCATAGTTTGATCTGCAAGATACATTTGTAAATCTAATTGTGGAAGTTCGTACAAAAGTTTGTTTGCTATTCTAAAACAAAAAAATCGTAGCAAGAAATACGTTCAATTTACCATTAAACGTAGATGTATGCCTAGGTCTCGGTGGTGCAGTTTCTTCAGCGTTGGTGCTTGAACTAGAACCATCTCCGTCGTCCCTTTGACCACCTCCTCTCTCTTCGTCCAAATAGAGACACAGTTCCTTCAGCTCGAGATTATCTTTGATCAGCTCCTGCTGTTTATTGTCCAATTGACGCAATTTATTTTGGTAAGCGGAGACTTCCTGTCGCATAACGCTCGCCGTGTATCTTCCAAATCTTTGCCATTCTCTGGCTAACTTGCGGCCCTTCTGTCGATCGTCGTCCAAAAAGCAACACAGATCTCTCAGTTCTTGATTATCATCGCTTAATCTTTGGTTTGCCTCCTTCAATGCTCGAAGCTCGCCGAGCTGAAATCACGTATACATTCCACTGTTTAGACAAGTGTTTATTTTAAATTAGAATTTGCAAACGATCGGTATGTTTTTTAACATTTTGTCAGTCTATGTCGTCGGCAAATGCATTACTACAGATAAATGATTTTTAACAAAAAAGAAATCGAAGTGTACCGGCAATCGTTCGCGGCTCGACTCACATGTGCGTGACTGGTTGAAATTACGACGGTGGACTCGACCCGTGTGACCTAAAAGAGTCTCAAAAACTTCCGTGTGACGTACTTAAAATCCGTGATCGCATCTTTTTCGCAAAAATTGAGTAACAAAAACGGCAAGGCCTCGTGACGTTCACTCTGGTAGAAAGGAATGCTACGATTACTTTTCCTCTTGCTCCCATTCATTCTTATTATCCATACGCAAATTACCGCTTATCCTACTATTTATTATTACAGTGTTATTACAGCTTCCTTCTCCCTCGATCTTCCATTTTTTTAAATATACCTGCAAAAACTTTATCCTTCAAAAATATACATCATTTCCATTACTAAAGGTCTCTTTCAATCTTTCACCTGTTTCTTCTCAACTCCTGTTACTCTTGCACCTCTTTTCTTATCACCAAGGGAGAAGTTAGTTAACCCTCTATATCACCGTCTGACTTGTAAGTTACATATCACGTATCTACATTCTCCAAGTCTCATTTTATTTCTTTATCGTTACACTAATAATTATCAACACGTGGTTCACGTGAAAAATCAGGTGAGAAATAACGAAACTCACCAAGCTCTGTATCTGGCGATTCTGCTCGGCGGCGAGCCTCGCGATGTCGCTCTCGGTCTTCCGGACAAACTTGAGCATCTCCACGGGTCCGAGCCTGAGGAACTCGTCGTCGGTGATCCTTTGTCTGAGCGGCGGTGTCTGTGCAGTGTTTACCGTGGGATACTGACCGTTAGGTGGCAAGTACTGACCTTGGCCGACCTTGGCCTGAAGGTAACTATGCGTTTTGGACACAGGCGCGGTCAATGTGTTCCCACCTTGGGGATGATGTCGATGCTCTATCCTCGGTGAGTATTTACTCTGCACATCCTTCTGTTGAGGCACGGCTCGTGGTTGCGCCGGTTGATGATGATTCAAGGCCGCGACGGGACCTTGAACAGTGGCGGAGGAGCACGACGTAGGTACGGACGGGCCTGTACCGAAGTGTGGATGATTCTTGAGGATGCCACCGGTTGGTTGCGGCGGCGGCTGGTATCGCGGTGGCACTTGCTCCACTGGCGACTTGATCACGTGCGAAGGATGCTGCTGCTGCGGCTGGGACTTACTCTTATTGGACATCGCGGCTAATTTACCTCCAGGCTGCGTTCTGTCCCATTTCAGTGAGTCCACCGTGACTTCTTCGTGCCGGCTTGCCTCGTTCGACCCGCTAAAATCTGGGTCACCGTACGGTGCTCTCTCTTTCTCTTGCTCTCCTGCTCACTCTCAACATTCGATATACATACTATACTACTTAAGAGGTGGCCCATAAGATAAACCACCTTACCTCCGCGAGCCTTACCTTCCTGATCCTCCGACAGGCCCACCAAAAAAAAAAAACGGACCTTCCTTACAAACTTCTCTCTCTTCTTCTTACGCTTTATCTTAGTGTCTCACCGGCGTGCAATCACTTTCGGAGATTAGTCTCGTCTCTCGTTTAATCCAAAATTTCCACGCGTCTTTGTTGTTTTCTTCGCGAATGCAACGTCGCAAACGTACGATTCAGTACAGCATATTGTTACTAGTGCTACACTGTTTGAGAAACTACGGTTATGGATAGTCGAACAATACTGACAGGTATTTTATCGAATCCCCCGGTGTTCCCGAACACAGCCTTGGCTTCGTGTCGCAGTATTAAAGAGTCGACGTCCTCGCATCACGCCGAAGCTTCGAACGATCGCATGGTATGCTCGCGTTCCAGCTGTCAACGGTCGGGTCGAAACGTGAAAGCATAGTTCCGCGATAGACGCGAGGCACGGTTCGATCTTCACCGCGTGGACACTTTGTTTCGTTACGAAATCTCAAGGATACCAGCGATATTGCACTCCCGAGAACTAATGCGCCCAGCCGGGCCCCCGTTTTTCTCACTGCGGGGCCGTAGCATTTCACAAGCCGCAGTGCCGTAACATCGAGTGGGGCATTCCAGTGAAATCTCGTCGTCCGTGACCGCACCGTACCGCGCGACAGATTGGCTTTCACACACACACACACAAACGCACACATACACACTCGTGCCGATTGTTAACCGATTCAGCCTGCTGCAGCGTTTATCTGACCATCTCTCTCCCACTTAGTGATCTCTAGTATCCGGAAGGAAGTGAAACGGTTCAATCGGTCGGCATTAGGATGCTGTTATCCTCGTGCACTTCTGTTCTTCGTCGTTGCTAGGTCTTGCGAGCGTATCTGCATTGAATCAGACGAGTAATCTCATCGCGTGTCTGTTAGATCCGTAGCAATACAGAAACCGAGAATCTTAAGTGAAAATCGCGTGAAAATCACGCACTAGCAACATGGCGATGATCGCGAACGTGCGATCCGAGAAACGATCACGGGCGACGCTAGGGCTTTAAGGTTGAGACGCGGGAACGAGAAAGCGATCGCTGATTGGACCGATTCTTCTTATAAGAGGGGAGTTAGCGGCGTGTTTTAGTCGTGGGAGGTAAAAAGGAGCAGAATCTTTGAAATGGAAGAAGTTCAGTTCGGTACGAACATTTCTCAAAGCCTTGATTCATCCCCTCAAATGTCAAACTGAGATTTCTGTTACCTTATGTTTAGAGAAATTGAAGATATTAATGGATAGACGTTTGTGTGGTTAGGTGACTTTGTGCTACGATTTATGTTGATAAGATTACGTCTGCCGTATTTTTGCTGTCTCGTAATCTATTAATCGAATTAAGTCAATGGATGCATTTAATTCTTTTATAATCTTGCAACAAGATTGCAAAATACAAAGGAAACAGTCGAAGGTACGATCTTTGTGGTATAACGAGATACCTGTCATTAATACCGACTATACTTATGCACGCCAGGTGTTTAAGCCCTTGTACCAGCGGAGGTAACCTACAAAAATGTTTTACCTGCTGTGCTACAGTTGCTTTTGCGTTGCATCCGTGTTTCCTTGCTTCTACTCTTTGGCCATTCTTTCGGAAGCGGGTAGAAACCAAAGGAATTTTCGTTAAATCCAACTTCCTCTAACTTTATTGTAAATTATTAAAAATAATTAATAATGTACGTGAAATTAATTAACCAATTTTAAGTTGGGAATCTTTAGATTGTTCACATTGCTGAAGAGACGGTCAAAGATATCAATAGTTATACATACGGTCAGGCGCGCTATTTTATCAGTCTCTTCGTGACCATCGTAGAGGGAATGTGTCCTTCTTGACGATAGACAGGCTAGTCGGTATAGTTTTCCAAAGAGATTTCTCTCTAGAAGAAAATGTCGGGTTAAAGCTATACATTATGCGTAGTTCAATCTACACTGTTTGAATTTTCTTTAGGAAACATTAGTTTGCTGTGTGGATTCTTGGAGAATTTGATGGAGTTGTCGCCTGTGGAGCGTTAAAGCGCTGTGCTCGTGGTCGTTTAATATACATTTAATAAATGAGAAAATCTAACGCTAAATCTTTTATAGAACAATAAATAACTTAACCAGAATAAGAATGTAACAATAATAATAGTAACTAAATAACGATATGTTTCATACGAACGATTGTTCAAGTGTTATCAATATTCATTATTCAATGTTAACATGTTTTTGTTAAATAATAATCCCCAATTAGATTAATGATTTATATAAAATTATTTAAGGATAAATTTGATTGGTGCTCCGCATTTGTTTATTAATACATATTTTAACATTTATTTAAAGGAGCAATTGCAAATAGTAGTCAATGACAGTTTACGATACATTTATATTTTATATATTGGGTTGTCGAGTTTCTTTGTTCATTACCGCTGCACAATTTGTATTCGGCGCGTTTCAGTATTCACACTACGGGGAGCCACATGAGTCGTATAACAAGTTATCTAAATGGATTGAAAATATACAGCATTTGCCCTTGTAGAATTACCAAGATACTCGGATGTCACCGATTCTTCAGCTTTCATTTGTTGAAGCGTATTGTTAAGCGTAAAACTTGTTACATTTAATTTTCATTCATTTAATATGAACATTATATTAGTAGCTTGTATTTCTATGGAAAATTATATAGTGTGTGGTACTTTCTGATACTATAGATTATTATGCATAATACCGTAGATGTGTTGTTCGTGAATAAAGGAATGGGAGCTGCAGGAATTGTTTACATTGCGACGTAGCAGTATTTCACATATTTATTAGAACTTTATACATATTGTAAGTGCTTATTATTCTGTTTGTATTTATATTAAAAATTTTCCATTCGATGTCATGTCAAAGCTTTTAACGACGTGTCAGTATTATGTAACTTCATCATGTAAATCACCTTTTTATAGTGCTTACACATTGTATTAAACGTAGTCCATTTTTTTCTGTCGAGGTGTGAGGTTAATTGCTTACGTGTCACGCTGAGGTATAATGCTGATTCTATTTCTACCGAAATACATTACTTCTCTGTCTATAAAATCATGATACAATTTATATTGAACTTTATAAATACATATGTACAAATATATATAAATAATAATAGGATGAATGTTGCGTGTTAATAAGTAAATGAAACTTGCACAATTAAATGTATTGTGTGAGGTGTAGGTCTTGACATCTAACATAAAGTTTGATATAATAAAATATAATGTTATGTAAAATATGTAACAATAACTTTTAAGAATTTATATTTGTAATTTATAAAGAGTAAAATATTTGTTTGATTAAATGATCGATATTTAATAGTTCCATATTGTAGCTTTCTTACATTTAGTAATAATGTATTAGCATGTTTTTGGCTATGCATATTTACCAAAATGGTAGTTTTGTGCTAATAAAGTAGTACATAATAATTGTAGATTAGAAATAAAAATAACAAATAGAACAGCAGATTGAAACAGACAATGGCAAATGATTCTTGGAGTGTATTGGTGACGGGGGGTGCTGGGTACATTGGTTCTCATACAGTATTGGAACTGTTGCAAGCAGATTTTGAGGTGGTGGTAATAGACAACCTTAGTAATGCTTTTAAAGGTGAGGCATAACGAATCAAGTTATATTAGGATAATTATTTATAAATTATTGTAACAAATTAATAACTAAATACTTCTAATACAAGTTAATACAAATATGATCTTTGCACCTATATAGAATGTATAATATTATTAACTATAACTATATCGTTAATATTGGCAATGTAAACGAGTTAACATAATTATATGGTATTTTTTATGTATAGGAGAAAAAGATGCAAAACCAGAATGTTTATTGAGGATAGAAAAATTGACAAATAAAAAAGTTACATTTGTTCACTGTGATGTATTAAATTTTAACGAATTAAGAGATGTATTCAAAAAGGTATGATTATAAATATTACTATATATTGCTGTATAATCAAAATAGGTAATTAAAATAATTGAATTTTAGCACAAGTTTAATTCTGTCATACATTTTGCTGCCTTGAAAGCTGTGGGTGAATCTTGTGAGAAACCCCTAGAATATTATAAAACAAATGTTTGTGGAACATTGAATTTATTAAAAGTTATGAGAGAATTTAATGTGAGATGTTTTATTTATTCAAGTAGTGCTACAGTTTATGGCACCCCTGAAAAGCTGCCACTAGTAGAAAATATGAGAACTGGTAATTGTACCAATCCTTATGGAAAAACGAAATACATGGTTGAAGAAATTTTGAAAGATCTATGCTCTTCAGATAAGGTGCCAATTGTTTACTTCTTTCATTTTTCAACTTAAAGTACAACCGAATATTTATTCTTAGAAGTTTTCAGACATGGTCTGTCATATCTTTAAGATATTTTAATCCAGTGGGAGCTCATTCTTCTGGACAAATAGGAGAAGATCCTAATGGAATTCCCAACAATTTAATGCCATACATTGCCCAAGTATCTGTTGGCAAAAGGGATATTTTATATGTTTATGGCAATGACTATGATACTCCTGATGGAACAGGTAGATGTCAAGACCAAATTATTGCTTTAGATTTGTCAGTGTTGTTTCTACTAATTATTATATAGGCATAATCGCATAATTTATAGGCGTACGTGATTATATTCACATTATGGACTTAGCTGTTGGTCATGTAAAAGCATTGGTTTATCAAAAAATTACTAATCCTATTGGATTTAAAGCAATTAATTTAGGCACTGGAAAGGGTTCTTCTGTACTTGAAGTTGTACATGCATTTGAAAAGGCATCAGGAAAAACTATACCTTATAAAATAGTTGCACGCAGACCTGGAGATATATCCGCTAGTTATGCAGATGCTAGTTTAGCTAATAAAGAATTAGATTGGCAAGCTACTAAAAACATAGACGATATGTGTAAGTTATTGTTTGAAAAGTATATTTTTACTCAAATTATAAACTTACATTACAAGTTACTATTTCATAATGTATTATAGGCATAGACACGTGGAAATGGCAACAAAATAATCCAAATGGTTATAAATCTTAGTAATAATTGTTGAAATATTTGTTATTTGAAAATCTGAGACGTTTAAAAAAACATTTCATTTATATTGTTAATTAATGTAAATATAAGCCATGGTGGTGTCTGGTTACCAAAGTTTAGACCAAAGTCGAAAGTAAATACGTATATATGTATATACACACACCTTATATTAAGTAAATTCATGAATCCCTACATTTAACATTTATTATAAACGATTTCCCCCCAAAAATGATGACTTTTATATTTAATAACAGTGAATAGTGAATTTTCATGTCCTATGATAACCTACATATTAAATTATTGTGCCATAAAATGTATGTTCCTACTATTGAAAAAATGACTTTGTATAAATACAGTAATATTGAGATGTTAAAACACAGACCTAATACCCGATGCATTTCTTTATCCTACATGATGGGGGACCCTAGAACCCCCCGTACCATTTTCGTGTCGCACTCAACGTTATCGATTCATTGAACGTAACTATGAAATTACAAATAAGAAAGTAACGTAATTGTTTATTTGTAGATGATTTGTCATATACGCGTGTTCTATTACTATCAAAAGATCGTGTACAGTTCTACCCTCGCAATTCAATATACATATTTAGTTGTGCTCACTACGAAGGATAACTCCTCGAGGTATTTAACAATACAAAAATGAGTTAAACGAGGAAAGAAATAGAGGTAGACAAGGATAGCACTAGAGAAATGAGTTAGACAAGGAAAGAAATAGGGGTAGACAAGGATAGTACTAGAGAAATGAGTTAGACAAGGAAAGAAATAGGGGCAGACAAGGATAAGAATAGTGCTGTGTGTTAGACAAGGAAAGATATATGGATGGACAAGGACAGAAAATTTGAAAAATGAAACTAGCGCCATCTCCCGTTTGGTGACTGGTACTACGATTTTTTAATAGAAACACAGGATATAAACAGAGGTATTAGACAAGGATAGTACTAGTGTGCGAGAAGGACAGAGAGAGAACGTTTCCTATTGGCTGGCAGGCCATCATGGCGGACCGTGTGTTAGACAAGGAAAGATATATGGATGGACAAGGACAGAAAATTTGAAAAACGAAACTAGCGCCATCTCCCGTTTGGTGACCGGTACTACGATTTTTTAATAGAAACACAGGATATAAACAGAGGTATTAGACAAGGATAGCACTAGTGTGCGAGAAGGACAGAGAGAGAACGTTTCCTATTGGCTGGCAGGCCATCATGGCGGACCTTCCTGGCCCAAATCGAGACGGTCAGTGAGAAATCAGTAATAACTCAATAATTACGATTATTTTGTGAACTTTTAGGATTGAAGAATGTAGTGTGGACCTTCAGCAGGTTTCACATATAGCTTTTAGTATCCTAAACCCCCTCAATAATTAGTTATTAACAATTTTAGTACATGATGTCGGCAAATATAGTACGAGATACTGTACAAACTTCTCCTTTTTCATTAATTTTGTAACTTTGCACACATAATTTATACACTTTTACACATGCATTCAAAAGGTTATTCCTTTAGCTAGTTTCTCATATAGATTTTAATGTTCTAGATCCTTTTAATAATTAGTTATTAATAATTATAGTACGTGATGTCGGAACGATACCGCATACCTTTATGGTTTTTCAATAGTTTCATAGCTTTCTACTAAATTCTCATGCAACTAATTATATGCATCTAAAAGGCAACTCCCTTCGCTACATTCTCATATAACTTTTATTAACATATCCCTTGTGGTTTGATAGTTATTTGACATTCTTTACGTGAGTATTACACCCGCCGCATTCGAGCGTAACATATTTTCGGTATTTCAATAGAAATGCGTAACTAATTATGCACTTTGAAGCATGTGGAATCTAGAATGGACTTTTTTTCTATATTCTGCAATTAGTTTGGTAGCCGTAAGTGGTGTGGTTTATTAGATATTAGCAATTGTTTGTAACAGTTGACTATATACGAGTACGATGAATAGGAGACTCTTCCCTGTAATATTTAATAACTCTTAAACTAGACAGAATATGTTGATAAAAATTATATGAGAATATAGCTAAGGGAGTTGCCTTTCAGGTACATATAGTTAGTTGTACGAGAATTTACTAGAAAGCTACGAAATTATTGAAAAACCGTTACGGTATGCGGTGTCGTTCCGACATCGAGTACTAAAATTGTTAATAACTAATCATTGAAAAGGTCTAGTGCATTGAAATCTATATGAGAAAGTTGCTAAAGGTCCACACTTTATTCTCCAATTCTAAAAGTTCACAAAATCATCGTAATTATTGAGTTATTACTGATTTCTCACCGACCATCTCGATTTGGGCCTGGAAGGTCCGCCATGATGGCTTGCCAGCCAATAGGAAACGTTCTCTCTCTGTCCTTCTCGCACACTAGTGCTATCCTTGTCTAATACCTCTGTTTATATCCTGTGTTCCTATTAAGAAATCGTAGTTCACGTCACCAAACGCGAGATGGCGTTAGTCTCGCCCGGCACTTTTTTCTGTCCTTGTCTATCCCTAATGCTTTCCTTGTCTAACACATAGCACTATTCCTATCCTTATCTAACTCATTTCTCCTCACTATCTTTGTCATTTTTATTATATTTAATTCATCCTTATAATAAACTTTTACATGCTTTAACGTTGCTAATAATGTAGATAGGAAAATACAGTTTAAGGCATATTTTGAAGTTCTTTATTTATAGAATAATTACATGGGTCTTAAATAAAATTGCTGCATGATTTAACGTAATGAAATAGCTTAATTTGTTAGTTTCATATTGAATGAACAATGCAGCAGACATTTTAAAATTAATATTTATAATCGATTTTTCATTTCTTTAACATTGATTATGCAAAAGAAAATGGACGTGGTGTAGGTGGGAAAAATAAATAGACTGTAAAATACTGTAAAACAATACTGGTATATTATAACCTTTTATAAAATACATTTTCTACGCTTATCTCATAATATGATTTTTTATACGATCGATTTTTTAGAACGTTGAACATTAGCCGATAAATACGGTCACTTTATTATCAGTAATAATGTTTCGCTCGAGACGTAGTAGATAGCGTAGCGCAATACATTGTTCGCAAAAAATCTGACGTTTACTGTAGATTATACGTGTTTTTCACGCAAGAAAAGTTATTTTGTCACTTGTTGTGATAAAGCAAGTGTTTCTGTAACAATGACATCCGTTAAAGATCCATTGAAAGAAGACATACAAACTGAACCACCCCCTTTTTCGGAAAGTTCGACAGATCATAATTCGAGATGTGGATCACCTAAACGTGGAACTACGCTTTCGACAAGCACAAGCAGCTTTGAGGCATTGGATCCTCATGACCCAAATCTTAGTCGTTTAGCTAATACGATGTTTCAAAAGACTGGAGAATATTTGCAAGAAGAGCTTATGGCCACTCATGCCGACTATCGTTTATTAGAACGATTAAATAAAGAAACTATTGCAAAATATACCGAATTGAAAACAATATCTTCTAGTGTAGCTCAGTCTTTGGATTCATTAAACGAGAAATATAAAAAGTTACAACCAATTTTAGATAACATTAATGAAATTGATGATAGTGTAACTAAGCTAGAACAAGCTGCTTATAAATTAGCAGCATATTCTAAACGATTAGAAGCAAAATTTAAGGACATTGAAAAAGATACAAAAAGTAAATAAAAGTGTGATATACAGTATATGAATATAAACCCCTAATTCAATAATAAAAGTGTATAGATCAAATATAAAAGAGATTAGAGTTAACAACAACATTTTTATAATAAATTGATTTGTTTCATTTTGTATATAACTTAATTTTAAAATAACTTATGTATAGACTAGAAGTTCAAACATTGTATTAAACAAGAATTTAATAAAAGTGAAGTTATACTTTCACTGTTATGACAGAGGTAAGAAATAAAAGGAATAAGCACTAATTTTCATTTTTATTATTAACTATATTAGAATACAGTCTCTCACACACATCTACACACACACATACACACACACTCATTCTGTTTATAAAAATTTTGTAAAGGTTTAATGTGTTGCGTGTTCTTTTTCTTCTTACATTATATCACATAATACATTTCTAAGTAAATTGTATTCTACTTATGAATCTACATGTTACTTTCTACTGGAAAAATATAAGACACTGTTATGAAATTTGCTAAGAAATAATATATGAAATCATTTATAACATGAATCTTAAAAATGAGAATTTTTCATATAATACAATATATGGATGAAACTCTGCATTAATTATACATTGTACAAATCTTCCTTTTAATTGTAAAATAAATCAGAACAGATATGAATGTATGCCTAACATGATATTAGTGTGTTCTTTTCAATATAAATTCTGTTTAAATATACTAATTTAGTGTATTACTGAAATATTTAGTAAATGTAATTGAATTAGTATATGCAGCAAATTCTGGATTACTTATTAATTAAAATTTATGTAAGTCATGTCATTTAATTAATTTAGATAATTTATTGTTAAAATTATAACTGTACTGCAAAATAGAATAAAATGCAAAGTATGAATGTTTTCTCAAAACATGTCACATGTTTTTACAAATATGTCACAATACAATGGTGAATTCGTCATGCCCCAAAGCTGAATTGTTTATCAATGATACTATTGATCATATTTAACAATCTAAGAAATTTCCAGCCATCAATAATTCTAATGCAATTTCAGGTGCAATAGGAAATTCGGGTATTTCTGTGCTGCTATTTGTATAGCGTACTTTGTAAGTGAAATACATGCAAACCTTTTGCAATACATGAGAGCTGCAAACAAACAGTACAGATGTTTCAATGTATTTCTTGAATATATTTAGATTTTGTTGATAATAAAATTATAAACGGACTTACGGAATTTCACGAAAGTTTACTTCATTAGCTTCATTTTCAGCAAATTGCCCTGGACCACTTAACATGGCTTTTATCGTTCCACTGGTTAATGCATGTTCACGTTTAACAATAAATTCATGTCCATCACTGCTCACAAGTTTTACATACATTGCATTTGGTCCTTCACAACCTCCATATATAATTCCACCATCTTGCTAAAATTTTATCCCATTACTTATATTACTTATGCTTTTGTATGTTCATAATTATATGTTGTATCTAATATTTCAACTATCATACAACTACCACTACTGTTAGTAACAAAAGACAAGGAGTATAATAAACCAAAAAGAGATCATTAAGCAGCAAAATTTTAATTTGCAGAAATAGGTACCGCATGCAGATCAATAGATGAAGTGCCTTCTTCTTCTTCGGCTTTATCGATATTTTCTTCCTCATTGGGCTTGATCCAAAGAAAAATTAGCATTAATCAACAAACTGTTTACCATAATTTTCCTGTTTTCCAATTAGAGGAATTAATGAAATTGCATAGCAGCCCAATTGTAACAGCACATACATTTCTTTTAAATACACTTTACATGTCCCAATTATTGTGAGAAAATTTAACATGCATAATCTCTTGAGAAAAACATACCTTGTCAGCTTGGTTGTTCACATCATTTGACATGTTTGCGTTTTATTGGGCACTTATCTTTCTAGAAAGAACAGCAAGTCATTATTTATATGTTCATATTCAATTAATGTTATATAGGAAATGAAATATATACTTCCAAACATTTTTTGGAGAAACTAATATCTTTGTTTATAACTGAATCACAGAATTTATTATAATGTCACTGTATTTTATCGATATATTTTGTTATTTGTACGTAAGGTCGTTTTTTCATTCCATCACTTTATGCAGACGAAAAGGTTAATCTGAACGTCAAGACATAATACATCGTAATAAGTTTAATGTTAATACATTGTTATAATGATTCAATGAGTGGTACATATTTGCAACTGAATAAACTACCAAAATTTAAATAAAAAATTGGAACCAAAGAGAAACATAAAACAGAAAATAAGATACTAACATTCAGAGTACATTTTACGTTTAAAGTTGTAACTATTTCAGCAAGACTATTTAACACTGCATTTATCATTGTATTGTATTTAAAAACAACAAATCGTACCTACCTGAATAAAAGAGGAAAATTGTATAAACTCAGAGCGTTTGATCACAATAAAGTTTTTTAATAAGCGCAATGGCAATTAATATGGCTACTGGCAATGCGTATAGTTCTCTATACGTTGAAACTGCTATCCATCTTTAGTATCATTTGCTATAAGATTGAGCTAACTTTCAGTATTCGATAAATCCGATTTATTCCGTTCGTAACCTTTTTTAAGCTCTACACAATGGAAACTGTAAACAATAGGTAAATATTAAAACAATTTATATGCTGCTCGTATAATTTTATAATGTTTCACTTATAAATAAATACACAAAATGTTCAAAGTTCTATTTTTATTCGATAAATTTCAACTTTAATCTCGACAGCTATTCGCGAACAATAGAGGAAGTTCGCGAAACTTTAGAGCTAGCTGCTGTTAAAGAATCTGGTTTGCAAAATATAACACAAATTGTATATTCCGAACAAGAGCACGATGTCGGCAAATGTATAAAGTTACTAGAACTTGATGAACATTTGATGGAAACAATCAGTAAAGGAGATAGGTATATATTTGCTTAAATTTTTAAATATTCTTCTATTAACTTGTTATTATTTGCAACATTTCAGTTTAACATTTCAGGGTAATAAGGAAGATACTGTGGTATTATGTACAAAAAATCAAACATATGATATTAAGGAAGCAGAAACATCTAATTCATGTATGCTAGTACCAAATTTAAATTTATTTGAACAAACAAAAGTGGATGCAAATGATAGAATAGTAAAAGCTTACAATATTTCTGGAGTTTTTCATACATACTATGAGGTAGAAAAATTATATGTACTATGAAAATATCTACAAATTTGTATTAATTGATAAATTTTTTAAATATTTAAGGTAAAAGAATGTGAGCCTAGATTGGAAAAATTACATAGTGTACTGAAACCCACATCTTTTAATGGAGTAGAATATGAATCAGCAATACCTCAAGAACTTTTGTATGATTGGCAAAGATTACAAAATGAAGTACAAGCCAGTGAAGATGAATTAACTCAAGCATTAAAAGATTATTTAATAGTTACTATCAATGGTATTATAGTTTTTACAAGATTAGTAAATATTATACAATTGGTATCAAATAGTATCCATTGCAGTAAATTATTACATTTTCTTCTCTATTCAAGGCTATTTTAGGCTAATATCATTTGAATGTGAAGTTAGAAGTTTAACATTGATGTTGGATCTTTTTGATGAAAATAGTTGGGAATTAAATGAAGTAGATAAAGAAATTACATATGAATCTTTGAAAGAATTTATTGTCAAACCAGTTTTTGATATTTTATTCACAAAATATACAGAAGTAAGTGACAAATCAAAAACAGATGGAACACTGTTATTTAGGTAAAGGAATTATACAGATTTCTTTTTACAATATAGAATGTATATTAAAATTTTGTCTTGTTATACTAAGTTATAGTATTACAGATACAATGAAGAGCAATGTTGTAAAAGTTTAGCAAAAGTACTTCTTTCTGCTTCTCCAGTAACTGAATACAAACAATTCATGGAATCATGGTGTATTGGTACACCAGAAAGCAAGTTGAAATTTACATTCAAAATATTTGCAGATAACATTTATAAATAAAATGCCTATATTGTATTTTTTATTTATTTCTATATGTAGAAATGAAACCAAAAGAAGAATATTTAAGAGGAATAGCTCTTGTAACATGGAATAATTCATTTCTAAAAAAAGAAGTAGTGTCTTTTCCAGAAATTGATTTGCCAAAAAACATTAATCAAAGATTTAATTATCTTTTTAAAGCAAAAGATAAGTGGACAGTTCAAGAAATATCACCCTATATATTGTAGGTAGAGAATTATTTACATTGATAAAATGCATAATTTTCTCTTTATTATAGAAGTTCTTTTTCTTCAGAAAGCTGGCAACAAACAAAATGAATGTTAATGCTCTTCTAACAAAATATGCTAGATGTTCAGTCGTTAATGGTATTAAGTACTACAGTTCAAAACATGATAAATAATTCACTTAAATTGTCCATGATGCTGAAATCATTCTTGCTGTTTATTTTGCTTGTGTTCATAATACATAGTTACATTTACACAATTTTATAAATATTTTTTAAGTGTTACGCATTGTGTTTATTTTTATGCTTTATCACCTAACTGATAACAGTAACAGGATCAATGATAGTACACTGCTTTCGTTTCCTTCCTTTTTTTTTTTTTTTTAAGAATTGCAGTTGCGTTTTGAAGAATAATTATCTGTACTAACAATTATAAATAGTTCATATGTTTATTATTTCGTCACAAGTTACGAAATCCTGTATAACGTGACTGTAGAACAATTTTAGCTGCAAAGCTAATATAAATTAAACTTTTATTATCTTTAAGTTGATTTATTAATACGAATATTTAAATAAATTCATTGAAGTAAAGTGAAAAAAAAATTTCAGTAATGGGATGATTACGCAAATTTGCCATGAAGATATAGTTTTCTAAATGCTTTCTTGCTTCAAATTCCGCGTAGAATTTCTTCGAAAATTGTTTAATACAATTGTGTCATCACACGGTTGTGATATTCGTCATGGCATACTTGTGATAATTACAAATCTTATAAAAGAATTAGAGAAGAGAAATTATACTTTATATAATGGTATAATATCGAAGACAGTATAAACATACATCGTAAGATACAAGATCGAAAATTTTTGGACATTTTAATGGAATTCTGATAAGTAATTACAAAGTGTTAAATCAAGTGTATATCTTTGTGGAAAAGTTGAAAATATGCACATTGCATGTTTCGAAAACATTTCTGAAAAATGACATTCACTATAAATAATATTTACTCAATTATCAACATCATTATTAAATGATATAAATTTTGGATGTTTATTTACATATACTTAACGTAATGCAAGAAAAAAGTATCTTATACTTTCGATGCAATAGCAGTGTCAGACTGTAAACGTGAATTACAAATTCCTGGGATGATGGATTAAAGTATTACTGTACATTTTCAATGGGTTAATAGCAACATTCGTTTGCGGTGTATAAGCAGACCTTGGCACATTACTATTCAGAAATATGGTTGTTGTAAAATAATGAGCAATGTAGAAATACAAGCGACCATCATCGTGGATAACAATTTCAATTTAATCGCGCAACTAAACCTTCCCAGGAACGTAAAAAATAACAAATGTATAAAAATGGAATACTTTATATCTATGGAATATTTAATAGATCCGTAAATGCACTGTTCTTATAAGCGCATCGCGTTGACAAGTTATCAATACTATTCTTATGCAAAGATGAAATTTTTTATAAATATTTTGTAGGAACTGACTTGCCGTTGAAGAATGATTCATTTTTTATAAAACATTGTATATAAATTTCACAAATTGGTATGAATTGCTAAATAATTACCTAATAGAAATAACATTCAGTCCCATTTTTTTTTACATTATAATCACTCCTCATAGCAGGAAATAGACTATTAAATTATAAATTCGTAAAAACAACATCATAAAATTGTGTCTTACAAAAAATGAAATTTTTGCATAATATTTTGAACTATTTGTTTAAATATATATTTATAAATATTGTTGCGAGTACACTGCAGATTTTTGTTGCGAACTTGGCCCCGATCGAAAAGAAGGGAAAATACTACACCGATCCTTGCCGACCGGTAATATTGATTTAATTAAGAAGCAGAGTCTTTGGCGAGATTTCCCCGTGTGCGGACGTATGAAAGACTACACCCATTAATTGTGTATTATATCGTGTACATTCTTGTATAGAAGAAAAGTGTTGCAAGTTGTTGTTGTATATTTAATTATGTCGTCTACCAATAACGACGAACGCAACTTAGATGATGGATCATATACATCATGATATTGCAATAATAGCCGTGTTATATTTAATTTTTTATAATGCTAAAATATATGCAACAAAATGAAGAAAACAATTCACCATGTAAATTTTTAATGAATGAAGATTACATGCAATTACAATCCTCTAGATTCGAGGATGCCTTTTGCGCCACCCTATATGCGTGGTTGTCATACGATAACAAATTAACAATAATTCTAAAGCTTTGGAGTGATTTCTTTATAGCTGTGACTTACGCGTTTTAGTAATAATTCTACCTCTACATCTAACGAATACTGTCCTATCTATAAGTACGTTTAGACAAAGTCTGTTAAATGTTAAAAAGAGCTATAAAGCACAAATACTAAATCTCCTGCTGCTGAGTTATGCGTGAGATGTAAATGGGTAACTTGTACGATGTAGCCTATGTACATACAATTATTTCTTCGAAGTTTTCCTGAAATTTTTATAAGTCCAAATACACTTAAGTTATGAAAGAAATTGTGGTATAACGTAACAAGTAACGTAAACTTACCTTAATGCAAGGCACTTCGTTGTTAGCTATCAGTTGTCGCACTTTCATTTGTCGCTTTATTATTAGGTGCAAACACTGACTGTTGATTAATACCTGTTGTACCTGTCTGACTCGGATGAATGACAGGTCCAACTGTTTGGACTAAATTGCAGGTAACTGGTACCATTGGCGGAAGATTAACAGAATTATTCATGGGACTGATATTACACGATAGCGATGGTCTTTTTCTTTCTAAACTATTCGTCGCCATTTGTCTTCTTGTTGTCGAATTACGTTCGAGACTGTTAGTGACAATATGATGCCTTCTTTCTAAACTAGAGCCAGTACTAACGTCAGTTTGGCTACCCTGAACAAACATTTAGATTTTGCTAAATTAATACCAATGGATTTATTCGATCATTATATAGATTTTATTGTGAAGTACGGTTTACCTGCAACGAACGATCAACGGACTGACCCATTCTATGTAAGAGATCACCACTTTGGCTCTGTCTGAACGTCGTCCCTTGACGTTCACTCGACTGACTTCTCCTCAGAAATTGTTCTCCAGATTGACTGGAACGAATACGACTTTCTGGCGTGGATTCTTGCGGAACATTAATATTATTTTGCTTCTGGCAAATATGACTGTCTACGTATGGATAGCGAATGCGTATCGAATCGATTACATCTAGAAGATTTTTTGCGTCCATTGCTAAGATGTGAGCTGCTGATAGCATTCCTCTGAAATGACATGCAATATTTCTCAATACTCTCGTCATCTGCTACGCATGGAAATATGTCAGTACATATTGTTCGAAACATTTACTTTCGATATTCTGCATCCAAAGTAGTAGCACTATATCTTTGAGCTTGTTTCATAGCGGTTACAAGTTCTGCCATGTCTTTGCTGAGAACTTTATGTGCCATTTCTACTTCTCGATGAGCAGACATAGGCAATACGTCCATTAAAGCATCCACGGATGAAAGTAGTGCCCTCAATTCGATCCCCACTTTACGTACTAATTCCAAATATTGGTCAGCCCTGCTCTGTTGAACACCTACATTCGTAACGTTATAAAAATGTTAATTAAAGTGCTACAGATGACATAACGATTATGATAATAGTTGATACCTTGAGAGAGAGACATCACGGCACGAACTACGCTGGTAGTACAATCGTACACCTTGTCGTTGGTTCTATCTAAATCTGCAGTAGGTGTAGGTTCCATTTTCTATGAGATAAAAATTTAATATAATTTTCATAGTAATTTGAAGATCATTCGACCATTATATATTACCTTTACAACAATTACTTTCTCGCCACTCTTATCAGAACCTATTGAACCAGTATTGGCACTATGTTGTTCATGATTTGGTGATTGTGTAACCGAACGAGGAACTGGAGGGCTTGCACTTTCGTCTCCACTTGTTGCAATAGACAGACGTTTCTAAATGAATAATAAATGATAATGTGACGTTGAAATAACTAATCGACGATGAATAAGAGTAGATTGTACCTCTTCCCTTGCCAACCAACGACTATCTTCTTCAGATTGACGTTGTTGCTCCAACAGTCGTTGTTCTAACAATTTTTGCTCGTCGTCGACACCACCACCAAAGTTCTCCGTAATGCTATCGAACAATTGCGACTGTACGTTCCTCTGAAAGAAGAAATCTTTCTTATTTTAATCGCTCAGCTCGCGATCCTTCGGGTAATTCACTGTTTTAGCATGTCTGATAAACATATGTACATAATAAAATTAAAGAGATGCATAATTCTCGATGCAAAAACCAATTTTAGAACAATAGTAGTGCAATCATACTGAATTACATGCAGCTCAGATTTGTTACAGTGTCAACGTTATCTCCATTCTTCATGCAAAAAGAGATTAGCCTACCAAAAAACTGCAAAAATAAAATACATATTCTGTTATGAATCAAAAAGGAGGAAATAAATCAAAACATCTTCTAGTTGCGTGTAAACGAAAGGAAGAGGGCCATTGTGTGTCAATTTAAAAGGATCATGTGAGCGCGTCTGCATATACCAGAAGCAAAAATATACATATTATATGTATATACATCTGATTTACAACAAAAGTATATGTATATATAAATGGTGCCGCAAGAATGTCGAACCATAGATAAATAAAAAAAGATATGTATATATATGAATATGCTGTTTGCAGAATAGAGGATGCGATTGTCATTCCTAGGAGGCATTGCCAAACCTGATCTTGCTGTGCCTCCTCTGTCATCGAGCTGCTCGATGACATAGTGCTGTCACTGACAGCTGAAGAGATCAGTGACCCGGAGAGCGTGCCATCTGTCGAGCTTGTTAGCTGCTCATCTTGTTTTTGGCTTACGAACGTGGTGATTTTCGCGACACCAGTCGCTAATTGAGGTGTGCTCGATCTTATGATTCCCGCTTGCATCACTGGCTGTACTATATACTGGGTTGCGTTCACCGTGTTGCTCGTTAGCAGATTCGTAACGTTACACTGCGCCTGGCCGTGCTGCGTGGCGATAATGGAAGTTGGTTGTTGCCCGATCACGATGTTAGACGTGCTTGGATGAATATGTTGCTGGTTAGTCGGTGGAATCGCGCCACTTGATGCCGCGTAATGCACTTGAACGGGATGATTCTGTGCTATCTCGTAGGATAATTGCTGATTCACGCTGGTCGCTTGAGAAATCGGTACGTGACTCGCGATTCCAGCCTGCTGCATTTGTTGCACGTATACCGGGCCCTGAACCTTCTGAGCTTGCACGACCGTAACCGAAGTCGCATGGGCCGTGTAAATTGGGTTTGCACCGGTCGCCTGATTCGGTTGATTCGTGTGTTGCGCCGGGATATAAGAAACGGGTTGAAGAATGGGATTCTGTCTCTGGATGTTTTGCACGTGCTGTGACTGCGGCAAGTACATTGGCTGCGATGCCGAGTGACTAATATTCGAATAGATTTGCTGATGCTGATAATTTTGGGCGTGCATCAGCGGTTGAGCTTGCAGATTTTGCCCTGAGGTCGAGGTGTGTGCTAAATTGCCCCTTGTACTGGGCATGGCAGATGCAACGGACGCATTCACGGGTTTCAACTCGGTTGCGTTTTGATTCTGAATGTTCTGCGCTCGGAATTTTAGTACTGGACCGTACAGGCATTCGGCGTTAGATGTGGGTATAGAAACGTTGCATGAACTAGCGATTGGTACACGGGAATACGCCCCAGCACCGGCAGGATTCTGTACGCAACTAGAACTTTGACTGACCGGTTGTTGACCGATGGGTTGACTGAACACTTGACTCGCGTTACTAGCAGAGAACTGACCGAAATTGGACGACTGACTCTGACTGTTTGATACTATGATACTGTTCAAGCTACTAGGTCCATAGTTGCCGGGATTCTCACCGAAATTACCACCTACGCTGGGACTTTGGCTAAGATTACCGACGATAGCGGAGCTTTGCGTGAAATTAGCGACTGGCCCGTATATCTCGCCACAAGTAGCCGTGCTAGTTGTAATGGGAACAGCGCTGGACGTAGTAAATTTCTGTACGGGAGAATACAAGTCTCCGGTAATGCTACCGACCACTTTCGAGCTGACCGCGTACAAATTTTGCATCTCTTTAACCTTCTGCTGTTTTCTATTCGCAGCTGGGGACTGCGCTTGTGTCGCCTCTGAAATGTTCAGGCTGGACATGAGAGGAGTATCTGAAGAATCGAGGGAGTCTAGGTTAATATCGGATAAAGTGGAATCTCCTGAGTGTGTGTCGTGAGAGACGGAAGGTTCTGAGATAGCTGGATCGAAAAAGGGTAGATCTGAAACTAAGGCGGTGGTTAAGACTTGATCTTCGTCTTGGAACTGTACTGCTAAGGTATTGAAGGGCGAGGCGGGTGTTGTGTAGACGGAGGGACATACCCCCCTAGTTTGATTATCCTTGAGAAGTTGTGCAAGAACCTCAGGGCTTTGCGCCACGATATATGTCGAAACTGGTGCTGCGGCGGTTAGCTGAGATTGATCCGTCGTGTTTTGCGGTTGCCTCGAAGGTTTCGGCGGCGGTACGTCGTCTGCGCCTAAATGACGAAAGATTATCTGCTCCGTGCCACACGAAAAATATCTCAAATGCCTTTTTTTTCTCACGTTTACGTACCCCAAGACATGGCTTGCACTCTCCTGTTCTCTCGTCTCATCGTTTCTTGCTGTTGGTGTTTTTCTTCCAACAAAATCTCACTGCAACATTGTGACAATTGAATAAAAATTGTCGATAATGCAACGACGGTGTACTAAAATAAGCAGGTTGTACATACTGCAATGTTTCTCTGATCTCTTTGAACGTTGGTCGTTTACTAGGCTCGTAACTCCAACATTGAGACATCAAAGAATATAATCGTGGTGGACAGTGATTTGGAAGCGCAAGTCTCTCTCCGTTTTCTAGCTTACGGATCACTTCACTATTTTTCACACCTTGGAACGGCTTCACACCCAGCATTAAAATCTCCCACATGCACACACCTAGAATAATGAAAAAAAATTCTTGGAAAACTTGTCCAATACGAAAGAACAAAATTGTAACTGTGAAGAAACTTACCAAACATCCAGACATCAGAAGACGTTGTGAATCTCCGGAAATTGATACTCTCCGGTGCCATCCATTTAATGGGTAACTTACATTTACTCGCTGTATAATAATTTCGTTCCTCGACCCACCTGCTGAGGCCGAAATCTGCTAATTTTACGCAGTTGTGCGAAGAGACTAGCACGTTTCTTGCAGCAATGTCTCTGTGGCAAATTGTGAAACACAAGAAATGAGATGATCGTGAAAGCTGTTAATAAAACACAATTTTCTACTGTTAATTTACCTGTGTACAAATTTCTTGCTCTCAAGGTATGATAAGGCAGTGCTCAGTTGAAACGTGTAAAGTAGAAGAGTGGCGAGGTCCAGACGGTGTTTGTTGGATTGCAGATAAGCTCGCATTTCCCCTAACCTGGCCAATTCCATCACCAACCAAATTGGTGCTTCCGAGCACACGCCAATTAATCTTATGATATGAGGATGCTCGAATTGTTGCATTATATCTGAAATTTCACACAACAATTATGCATACGTCATTCACAGCTTCAATACGATCGATCGTGTCAAGAGGAAATTTCTTTACAGGCTTCTTCGAGGAATTTCTCCGAAGTTGCGAGATCTGCGTCGATTTTACAGGTTTTCACTGCTACAGCTATGGTTTGGTTGTCTCGTCCTTTGTACGAACCCTTAAGTACATTACCAAATTGCCCACCACCAATGATTTCACCTAATTCCACTTGATTTCTCACTATCTCATAATCTCTGGCTGAAATGATCAATGAAAAAATGGTGCATAATCTTTTTCGTAAATTCATCGTTCGATAATGCATTGTTGCGTTATGCTTACTAGCTGGCGTCGAATAATCCCCTTCTTCGTCTACGATTTCCGCGTAATCCTCTGACAAAATAGTCCCCGTTTTGCTCACGTTCTTCTCTGGACTATTGGAACCATCTTGCCTGGACTTGGGTGGATGAGCATCTATTTTAATCCAAGATGTACAATCAGTGATAACGAACGAATCGAGTTACCGGTTGTCATGCAATTAAAGACAGTACAATACAGCAAGGGACCATCCAAAACTACAAACCTTTGCATGGACAGGGATAGTTTTTCCACGATGCAGCTTGGAAGTGTAAACGATTATAACTTAGTATTGTTTATTAACATAAAGGGGGTTCGTGCGATACATTTAGGTGTGAAACATGATTTCATCGTAAGAAGTACAATGAGAAACGTTCCTGTGACGTATCGAAATAAAACAATTGTACGTCTTTTAAGTTCTTCGGAACACTATTACGAATTGTCGGTCAAAGCTAAAGGAAATACGTTCGTAGCATTAACATCGAGATTGTTAACTTAAGAATACCGATGCAATTTTTACTCGAATAGTGGTGTCCTACCTTTTCTATTCCACAACGAGGTGTTGCTTCCGGTAACTAGCCTACAGTATCCATCGATTAGATCCGCGAGACTCTCCGCTTGGTCCAGACTCGAGCAAGTTATACTAAGCGTTTCCGCGGCCCCAGCTACTCTTAATTTAATGCACGCCTTCGCGTGTTCTTTACAGTCTGACACGAGTGTCTGGATAGACTGTATCTGGGAAAACTCTGCCATTCTTGTTGGCTATAAAAGATTTAACACGTTCGATGAAACTTTACAATTCTCGAGATTAGTCTGAATAAATCAGAAACATACCACTGTTCCACCTCTGTGAGCCATGTACGATATGCCTAAATCTGGTCCAATGACTAGTTCTACAGGTATAGACCAGCTAGACTGTATACAATAGAATAAGAAACGTGTACATTCTCTCTGAATAGTTTTAACATCCGTTATCCAGTTCGAAAGAATCTAGCCGAACGAAACTCACCCCCAAAGCACATATAAACCTTTCCTGGTCGAATCTGTAGTGCGCTCTCAGGAGGTCAAAGAACTTGTACATGCATTCCAGCTCTGACAACGCGGCCACCTTCTTGAAGTGTTGCTGTATCAGCTTGCGCAGCGCCTTTGGTTTCATTCCATTCAACACGGACCGCGGTAAGAACTTGTGCAGACCGACCTGTGAATAGAGGGTGGAGGAGGTTTTTACCATTTTTAACTCGCGAACAAGTCCTCGTCGGACTGTACACCCTCCTCTCCTCTGCCTTACCTCTCGTTCTAGGTACTCGAGATTGCTCTTCTTGTCAAGTGCGATCTGTGGCATGTCTTTGAAGAAGTAGCGAATCTCCAGACAGCACAGTTGTACTGCGACATCTTGGTCTAGGGCTGAGTGGTTCGCGCAGAGGTAATCGTTTCGAACCTACGATACATAACGAACACCGAAATTTAAACGTTTCCGTTTGACTGTTAGAAAATTGTAGCGATTTGTCGTTGAAAATACCTGATCGTAGTAATAGTAGAACGTTACTTTATCCTTCTCGTATAGATCGTTCAGATTTTGCGGCAGATATCGTACCCTTAATTCGTACCTCCATTCGCAGTGAGGATGTTTCTTCTCGTACTTCTCTTGAACCTGACGAACATTAACAATTTTCACTTTGATGGTTGTAACAGTGATGGTACGATGTTTCTTCGAAAACAGTAGGTTGCTGAGATTTTACCTGATACATGGTTGTGTCTTGGTGCAACCAGTAGCTCTCCCCCGAACCAGGGTGATGCAGCCTCATGGCGTAGAGGTTTCTGTAGTGTCTGGTGCCCACTGCTAATCGACTAGTTACCAGGGAGATGATGCCCCTGACGTCGATCGCGTCACCGAATTTCACCACGTTGAAACCACCTGAAGATCCAAATTTTTCTTTAGAACGATCGCAGAAGTGTTGGGAGGAGAAATGTTGGTGAAAATTGTTGGTTGAAAATCGATGAATTTACCGTTAGGCAGATGGACCTTGAGTGTCGCCTTGTCCATCGGGGTAGGCGATCCATGGGGTGGTGTACTTCTACCGCCACCACTTCCTTGTACGCCACCCCCGCCGCCTCCACCTCCATCTCCCACGCCAGTGCTCATCCCCTCATGGCTGGCATGGAAAAAGAGTAAAAAAAAGAAAAAAAAATGGGTAAAAACTGTGCAAAGGAGAAGCGGCTTTAGTCGACGACGCGGCAACGACCGCGTCAATTATGCATAATCTCATAAAACCTCGACTCACACTACTCAACTAACGTGCAAGCTTTCCTCGAGAGGATTAATTATTCATCGGCCCATAGAGGAAAGGATTTCTTCTGAAACCTTCCTCCGGGGCGAATTTCGTTGTCGTCGAAGCACGTATAATGCCAGACAAGCGAAGCAAAGAACTTTGTATATATTCTAGAGCACCGTAGACGGCAATCCCCCTGTTAGCGTGTTCAACTACCGCTACTCTCCAAGTTACCACGAGTTTTCTCCTTCTTCGTCGTCTTCTCTTCTTTCTTTTCTTTCCTTCCTTTTTTATTAAAGTCTCGCTTTTAATTAGATATTCATGGCAACAACGTTGCGTTACCCGGCGTAAATGCTTGGAGTTGGTTAAGAAGGTGGATTTCACAGGGGAATCATCGAGGAATCACGATTGTTCACAGGGAAGAGACCGTTCCCACATTTTCTTCGCATGCTGTTCAATCATTGTACAGCGAGGTGATACGTTCATCAGCTCGTGAGAATTCAACACACCGACACACGTTCAACTCGCGAACGACTAAACAACCAAATCCTTCAATAAAAGTTCTTATCCGACAGATTAAAATACCTTCCGATAGCTTTCTTTCGCGTATCGATCGAATAACCGAATCAGAAATACGAATCGGTATTTGGACGATTGCACTTTCCTCGAGAAAAGTTCAACACCGCTGACGTCACACGCGATGAGCTAATAAAGTGTCTCATCGTGAAATGTTATCTGGTGATTATCGGACATAAATATCCCGCCAGATAGCATCCGTTTCTAAGGGAAGGAAAGTGGTGCTTTCTAAGAAAAACACCGAATTTCCACGAAATTTTTCGTCGTTAAAAATCAATAAAAATTCTTCGTCTTCACCTTTGCATACGTGATTACAGACTGACCATAATCGTCGCGTTCAAAGTAGGTACGTAAGTATTTCAAGAAAGACGATTTAACTCCTCTTCCTCACCTTTTGAAAATTACAAAGCTTCCAAGGAACAACGTGGCAATACAAAACTGATGAACCCTTTAAGTAAAGCTCTGGCTGTGTACGACTGAGTTATGGCATTAATAGTCACCCCACATATTTCGTTGGCCGAATCATTTTTTGCTGAATATCTCGTGTTTCACGTTTGCAAAGAAGGCAATATGTAAATATAAAAAATAGCGTCTACAGGCGCCGACAGCAGTCAAAGGGTTGAACAAAGAAGGAGGAACTTTTGCAAAATAAAGGGTAGTTATTAAAAATATGAACCGAGCTCGGTATACAGAGGGGCACGAGTTAACCCTTTCTGCAGCAAGGTAGTGCGGTGTAGCAAAGACGATCGTGCGGCTAGATTTAGCCTGTGGCTATAGTCGCGATAGAAATTTCGCGTAGCGTGAACGTGATGGCTCGAGGGTTTTTGAAAGGGGCTAGGATGTACGCGTCTGTACGCAACCACGTCCCTTCTCATTCACTCGTCCCCGTTTCATATCATCTACCACCACCCCTTTTCGACGTGTGGCGGCCCTCTGACACATTTGCTCGCTCGCGTATACTTACATAGTTACCGATTCATCGTAGTCGGGACGCGTGCATACGGGAGGGATGCAAAAAGCATTCACCAAAGTCACAGGAGGGGGAGAGCTCGATTCCAAAATGAACTTCTGCGGACGACTCTTTTCAAATATACGAACCTCGACGTTTTCCCTCCTCCTCCGAACTTTCAGAGATATCTCGAATTCCTCCGAGAGAACGATCTCTGTTTCAATCGAAGCACGCTCTCCTACCGTTATTAAGACGATCTCACGTGGTTATCATTCAATCGGTCCGGGTTATGAAGCTATTCAGTGGGTAGTTGGAAGCGACGCCGTTGGAAAATAGAGGAATCTCGTCGGATTTAATGGGTCCTATTCAGAATCGCGAAGAACCGTATTGTGTTCTGTTTAATACGTCGGTGGGCTGGTCGAAGAAATTTTACGACGGGTCAGACGTGACCCAGCTGAACTTTCCGTCCAACGATTAATCGGAGAAGAGAGGACTGTCCGTCACTTTTTTCGCCGAACAAATTTTATAAGAAGGAAGTATTCGTTACGAGTGATACGGTAGAAAATTAGTAGATCTGAAAAGAAGAGTACAGACTGCGACGAGCCACTGGTAATCCAGGAAACGTAACATCTCAAACAAGTGTCTCATCTCTCTATTGACATTTCCCGTGCCACCAGTGACGTAATATTTCGCAGGCACTCGTAACAACAAGGGGCTTCCTCAAAAAGTAGACGGACGAAAACGTGTTTGAAGATGGTTCGAGGCGAGCGCGTGCGTTTGCATCGCGGCTATTAATGCAAATGTATATTACGAGCGTCATACTGGATCGTGGAAAAGGATGGACGTGGATCGGAACCAGGCCGATCTAACTCGCAACACCGGACTATGCTCCCTAAATCTCTTATTCCGCGTGCGTTTCGGAGTGTTTCCTGTGAAGTGAAGAAACTGGGCCAGTCTGTGGGTGGTAATCATCTAATAATCGCCACTGTCTGCTGCACAGTTGTCCTGCATTCAAATTACCATAGTCGGAGTACCTCGAACAACCGCGATCTCGATCACGTAGATAAGCTACTAGTTTCATTGTTTTACTACTTTACTGAGAGATGCTTGAATTGTTTGATAAGAGCTATCAACGCGATTACGAAGAAAACGGTGTAAAACGATTTATACCATATTACGTCCTCCATCGTACTAAACAACTTTCGTGAGATCGTTTTTTCGATAGATACAACTCCTTCTGAGATGTTCCACTGTGTCAAGTCGAAGAAGACACCCTGTAGAATTTTCATAATTTCGTAGTCTTAATACTTACGAACGAACGGTGAGTGTACACACTCGCTAATTCGTTCAGAAAATGAACCACACTACCTGGGAGCAAATCGAACGGAGAAAGGGTTGAAACCCTCTTTGACCGTGGCAACGAACAGAAGCAGCCAGTTGTTTCTCGTCAAAGCAACGTTGATTTGTTATTCGAGTAACGCTGCACACCGAGATACAATTCGGCCCCCGGTATATTTACTGCACTTATTTATCGAACGATCCGTGAGTGGATTATCTGCGCTTCGAAGCTGATACGCGCGCGTGGCTCTTTCAACAGGCTTCACGTTTCGAGGCTACTCAAGCTGACTGCGTAACGAGCATAATAAACATAATTGTACAATACCGGAAAAAAGTTTGCTCGTAAAATCGCGGATATATATATATTTCGGGTAAGCGAGACGGAACATTCGTTTCAGAGCGGTTTCCGCGGCTCGCTAAATCGCTCGAAGTTAATTCAATTGCACGCGACATATTAAGCAGCTTCCGGCGCGGTAATTGCAAAGCGAAAGCACAGGGTAGACTTATTTGTTTGTCGCGGAATATAAATTGCCGCTTGCTCTCTCTATAACGTCGCGCGAGATAAAGGGGTAGTCGATCGTTCTTCGACTCTTTCGCCGCACGCTCTAAGATAGAATCGTCTGATCTTTCCTGCGTCACAATGTTTACGTTTTAAAAGTCTCCATTTTCCCGACAAATTTTCCATTTCACGTGAGCAGTGCATTTTTTATTATAATTCACCTTTTTCTGGAGTAGTATAAACGTGTGATGTGCACAGTTTAGGACTGTATGAAATTACCGGCGCTTATAAAACGTTGAACTTTTCTCCGGTCCTCAAGGAACACCCTGTGCGGTACTCTTTATAATTAACCCTACGCAGGCAGACATTTTCCCACACTCCGCAGGCGAACCGGTCTGTTCACGTCCCAGTCTAATATTTTTTACTATTCCAGCCTTTGAAAAATTCTGAAAAAATTCCGAGACACTCGTCAAAGTGTCTGTTATAGTCTAAAATTACTCGTTAAGTGAAATGTTTAAAAGTTTCTTCGTTCGGAAGAGATGCAAGAGTGAAATTTCACGGAGAGAAAAATTCCGCCTAATTCTTCTCGTTTCCCATACGAACGGACGAGAAGCCTAGCACGATCGATTAGTTGAATAGCACGCGTTCCGTGTTTACCGTAACATAACTAGCAGCCTCGACAGCCTTCCTGTTTCCGGTGCAGCGCGTTTCACAGCGAAGAATCGGAAACATGCGACAAGCACGTCGACCTGAAAACTCGTCTCGACAGGAAGGGTGGTTTATGCACGATGAAAAGAAGCATAGAAATAGAGAGAGGAGAGAGAAAGAGAGAGGATATGCAGAGTGCGTCCCTGACCCGACGCGGCTCGAGCACAACTACCACGCACCTGTGACTGTCGCCCACGCACTTTACCTTTCACTATTACTTTCTCTATTGCGCTTTTGCATCGTCACAAGCGTAACGAGGCTCGCGTGCCTCGAACGCTCGTTTACGAAACGCGCGCGTCGTCGCGGAAAAACGCGAGCACCGTGTATATAAATCGTGGCCTTTAATCGTCCCGCTCGCTCGGTTCGTTACGCGGAAGCAACGCAATTTATGGGATCCTATAATACCGCGGAGGAATCTGTAACTGGTATAAACGCGAAAGACGGGATTCTTTCTGTTTTCTTTGCTAAAGTTACCTCCGTCTCGACACCCTATGGAACTTCCAGGTGCCAAGGGTGTCAGGGGTGTAGGAATCGTTGCATCCTAGTTGGCCGAGGGAGCATAGAAGGCCACCGTTATTCTCTCTTCTCCATCGTTTCTCTCGCGAGCAACCCTTGTCTCGCCGGAGAAAGAAGATTCCCTTGGGATCTTTGCTGAAAGATTCGAGGTTTTGGCCGCGACAGCTCGGCCAAGAGATTCCACTGGCTTTCCTTTCTACTAGCTCCAGCATCGTCCCCCTTCTCGATGTCTTGAAAAATCTCTCGAGATCACCGGCAATCGCTCATCGGATATATTATATATAACAGAATGTCCGTGTACTCTCGAACGACAGGAATGCGCACTGGTAATCTGTTCACTCTACGCGTTATCCGGCAAACAGTCGCGATTCCCTTTTATTTAGAGAAGAATCGCTGTCAGATATTGTCGGATAGAGATCGACGGATCGATTTACCGATATCTCTCGATGTATTCTCCTGGGTAACTCGATTCCAAACTGGATCAACTGAATCGAAAGAAGTCCACCTTGTTTCACCCGATCGACGCAGCGTGTCGAAACGGTCAGACGCGTGGATCTCGTTTCACGAAATTGAATTACATCTAACCCAGGCTGCGGCAGTCCTTGCAGTATCCGTGCAGTTCTCGAAATACAGCGTCAAGACGAGGGGGAACAAGCATCGCGAATGATTTTAATTTCGCGCTGGCTGGTTCAACGTTCCATGACTAGCTGTGGGCCCCGTTTTGCTTTCATCAGTTTTTCAGCCCCGACGCGACGCGACGCCCAGCCTAAGTACGCGCGCGCATCGCTTCTTTCAATCCGAGAATGGAGGCGTCGAAAAATTTCTCCCCTGGCTGCAAATGAAACTCTTTTTCCTCGTCTTCCTTTTCCTTGCGAAATGGGAACCGTAGAAAGAAAGAGTAAGAGAGAGAGACACGCGATTCACCAAATGTTGAGAGAAAACGTTTTCTTTTTTTTCCTTCTCTCCTCTTTTCTCTTGTTCCTTGTTCGAATGAAAGGGTATGTGCGCGGCCTGGACGTCGAGCTGAAACTGATCGACGAGTCGAACGGACAACCTGCCGTTCTCTGTCTCTTCTCTCCTTCTCTTATAGAGTTCTTTCTCCTCTACGTCTGCATGTACGTGTTTCACCGGCTACGAACCAACGAACGCGTGGGACGACGGTGAAAAATCGGCGTCGCAAGCATAATTCCTGCGGCGCAGATAAACGGGGTGATCGGCTGTTTCCAGGTCGCGCGGACAGACTGCCTGGAGACGCTGACGGTGAACGGATACGCCTAACCCTCGCGAACCGAGTGACCGATTCAATTTAACGGGGAGATGGGAAAATGTGAGAAAATGTGAGAAGAATTACGATGCGTGGGTCCGTCTCCGCTTTTAGCGATTTAAGATCGAAATTTAGCTGGAATCTCGAGAGAGAGAAAGTGAAAATCGAAGGTTTCCTTTGGTCAGAGAATACATCTCTTACCCACAGATTACATACACGTAAACGTACACAAGTATGTAATTAAGCATGTAAATGAAGGGTTAGATTAGATAAGGTATTTCTCCTCCGTTCTGTATTTAACGGTCCTCCCATATATTTCTCTTACTATTCCTACATTAGCATCGTACTATTTCTTATCTCGCCACGTTATAAAATGCACGATTCGAGTGAAAGCGAAAGAGAAAGAAATACGGTTCTTATGCAAACCAGCCTGTTTTCATATTCATTCGACTTGGGTGAGGGACGAGTAAGATAATTCAGGATCGCGGTGACTGTGCCACGAAGGAAACACGGAAACCGGCAGTGTACAGGAACGCAACGCGTCGTCGACAATGCTGCCGTGGAAAATACAAGTCCGACAAGTCTGGAGATCGAGCTGCCTGCCGCGTGAAAGGCTGTCCGCGGGACAACGGACTGGCTTGTGTGTTTAATGGCATTTAGGCGAAGGATAGAATGTTTTAACAATAGTCAGCGTGAATATATCATAGGATGTGAACTTTACGAGAATTCCTACTTTTATACCACTTTTCTTTTTATTCTATGCATAATTTTCATTTACAGCACTGTTAAATATAAATTACATCAGGATATGAACCCTTTCTCTGACACACTTGAGAGAAAAAGTGCGCTAGTATAAAAATAAAGATGAACAATCAACTGTTTCACGATAGTCAAATGTCTGCTGCATTCTAACGTTGCCCGATTTTCAGTCGACAGCGATATTTCATTCGTGAAGAGCGAAAATAAATGAATAAATTCCACGTATTAGACGGGCGTATATGCACGCTCTTCGCAGGGGCTAAGCGGTACTTGATTCAGATAAATTATAAATATGATTAAAACGTTGAAAACAGATTCGGTTGGGGAGAGAAGAAAAATTGTGAAATCTACAGACACCGATACATCACTGTGCGACTTAACTGCGGGCGTAAAACATGGTCGGTGATCTCCTAGCTGTATCGATCGTCGCGATGCACGACAACACGGTGTATAATCAAGGAGACCGGAATACGAATTGCATCTGAATCACGATTTCAACATGCCACGGTATTTACCTGCGCTGCGTGCCTCTCGACGATTCATTTTTCCGTACTTACTGTCTAGAGAACCGGACGAAGAGATACGAGAAAATCCGTGCAACGTTCGAGATATTTCGTCGAAAATTTCAACGTCGTTGATCGTATCGAAAAATGTACAAGGCAATAAAAAGACCGGTGGTGGAAGGAGGAATTTCGTTGGGACCTCCTTCTCCCGGCAATCTCGACGTTGTTACGTTCGTTAAACACGAGAATTCGCATGGGACTCGGCCGATTAATTTGAGGTTCATCTGAAGCCATAGACGAGACCAGTCTGCCCATCGTGCGAGCTATAAAATCAAGTAGAACCTGCTTGGCTAACCAGAGACGTGACACGAGCAAAAGTGGTCCTTTCAGATTCGAAAATTACGACCGGCTATTCTACTCGAGCCACGACGACCGTTTCACGAGGCAACTTGGACAAATTTTTACCTGATACGTTGTTTTTAACGGTAACGATAATAAAGAAGATTTAGGACGAAGTGAAACTTCTTTCGGAGATAGAAAAAGAAAGGATCGACTATTGGTGATATTATACTGGAGCTGTTTGAACTTTCGCGGGGAAAGAATTTCAAGCGGCAGCGAGATACGGAACAAACGAATTAATTTCGTGGTGGATATCGATGTTTAAGTGGTTGCCGCGACTCGAAACTAAATAAAAGCGGCCACGCCACTTGTGAATAGCGTCGCAGACGTCTTCGAGAAGTTCTACAGCTACACAAGTCTGGCCGGTATTCTAGGTGGAAACTTTTCTCATTTCCCGGGCCACGTGGCGGCTTCTTCTTCTTCTTCCATCTAACTATCTCGCGAGGCGAATTTTCCGCTGCAATTTGACCACCACGAACGTATACCCGGACTTTTTGCTCTGGCAAGAGGGAAGCATCGCTCGGATCGTAAGGGAAAAGGAGGAGCAAAGAAGAAAAAACAGAGAGACACACTTGGCGAGAACGGTCGCGATGAAACTTTATCGTCGATAATGCAAAGCGGTTATCGCCGTTTCAGAGAGAGAAACAAAGATAGGGGCACAGAGAAGGAGGCGAGGGGAAGAAAAAGAAGAAAAATAGGGAGAAAAAAGAAAGAAAAAACGCTCGATAAAACCATACTGCAGCATCGTTCTTTTGTCGCGTCGCCACATCCACCAGGACACACACATAGATAATTTAATCCCCGGTGAATTTGAAAGTTAGCAACTCTAACGAGGCGACGCGGCCCCGGTTGTATTGAAGCTTAGTTAATGGCGCCAATTAGCAACGAACGGTTACCGGTGAGGTCCGTGGTCGATGATGGCAATTTCGCCATGGTTACCCGGCTTGCCATCGACGTAACACACAGAGTCCACCGCAGAAAGAAAGAAAAAAGAGAAAAAAGAAGAAGAAGAAGCTGTTTCCCTCGCGTGATTCTGTTTGCCTCGCTATCTCTCTCTCTCTCTCTCTCGCTCTGGTGGTCTTCTTGAAACCTTTTCACCCACCTTCGCCAAGCTCCTCCATTCACGAATTGGAAAGGGACTTGCAAAGGCTTTATGCACGCAAATTGCCATTGGCTGCTCTTCAAACGAGCCAACCCCTTTTGTTTAAACGCCTGTTCCGCGGCACTGAAGATCCTAACAGCTGGATACCCGGCGTTCCTAAGGAGGAACGAGAGCCGGAACACCAACCAGCCTCGGGGCGAACTTTTCAAAAGCACTCTGCACCGAACGTTATTATGGAAATTCGATTTGAATCCGACTCGATTCCACCGGTAGGAGAAACGCGATTTCACATTTGCTCACACATCTCTGCTAGGACATTGTTGTCGTTTCAAGAGCTTTCGACAACGAGAACTCGTTCGATATCGGTATCGGTAAAGGAGGAGCAGTAAAAGAAGGGAGTAGGAAGAAGTCGTACCGTAACAAACTCGTTGCAAGTGTAAATTATAATTATCACGATTGAAGAAAGGATGTTTTCTTTGTTATTCCTGTACTTACTCGGTGGTTTCGAGGTACTGGAAGACCCGGTAAACGGGACGTCGATACATGAAGAGATGGTCCTCGACACGCTCCACCATCATCCTAAAACCACTTCATTCGAAACGGTGGGTCACTGATCATCACCCACCACTAGTCACACTAGTTTCGTCAGTTTTCACGATCAAATAAGAACACTTGTTTGAAAAGTTCGTGGACGGATGGAATCCCTGATTTCTCTCTTCCAAACTGTGCCGTTGTCGTTCCTCGTATCGATACAGGTAAGTTTCACCGAGGAGAAGGAATTTCCCGAAGGAGAAACGAGTAGCTTCCGGTGTTGCTAGGATTTACAGCGTCGACGAGGCTGCAGGATTCAACGGGGATCCTCTTCCTCGTTCACCGGCAGTGCTTCTTCCCTTTCCGGTGCACTCGCTGCATCGCCACTTCCGAATCGATATCGCTGCCGGAAACACACGCACCGCAGGCTGCACCCGAAACAATTTTCTTCAATCCTTCGTTACGATTAACGAGAACTCAGCTTCGAGCAACTTCAACTATTCACTTCTCCTTTCTCTCAAACGTCACTTTCTTCCCATTTGTTAACCTCAAGTTCTTTAATACTCTACGAACAAGTAAAGCGACATTTTTTTAAGAACAATTGCCTCTCTCTCTGGAGATAATTGTCGATTCTTTTTCAACACTGCCCACTTTTCTCCGTCTTCAGAGGAGGGAGAAAAGCCGGTTTAACGTGGTGTATAACGCGAGCGTGGCGGGAAGACGCGGTTGTCCTTATCTAAGGGGCTGGTTCGTCCTCGAAAGCGTCGGAAGCTCGTGTCGGACGATTTGCGAGGAGCTCACTGCCCGATAAGGATCTCGCGTGCACTAGCATAGAGGTATGGGAGCGAACCTAACCTATCCCAAAGGCAAGCAGGGCCACCGCCTAAGCCTGGACGCAGACACCCAACAGTGTCGAGCACCGTTGCTTATGGCTCGCGTGCCTATCAACCCCTTCGCTGTCGCGTAAATCCCCCCCGGAACGGAACGTAAACACGGAACTCTTCCGCCAAGTATCGGCTGACTATCCTAGGGAACGCTAGAGAATCTATTTAATCGCGTTAAAATACCTGGAAATAATCAAGTTACTTTCCTCGAACAATTTTGTTGGAAACGGTGTATCGACGAAATTATTCGACATACAGGGTGTTTCAGTTTTATTCTTTTATCAAATTTTGTCGGTGTATTCTATGGGCGTAGATGAGGAAAAAATGTTGTATAAATATAGGTGGTTTGAAGGTTAATTAAGAAGGAAATGCGAAATGGTAACGGACTTATGGTTACTGCGATACGAAGTAGAAATAGATCAGCGATATTTATATCTAGTCTGTTTTATGCGAGCTGTGTTTACTATCTGAGGTCATTAAAAGTGTTCAATGTAACTTCTGCCAGTGGCATTCTTGTCTTGTATCATAGCAACCGCAAGTTCGTTGCCATTCCCTTCTTACTTCGTACTTCCCTTACAAATTTTTAACAAACCTTCGAATTACCTGTGTGCATATAACATTTTTTCTTATTTACACCCGTAGAACATCCTGACAAAGTTTGGTTGAAAAAAATTGGAACATCCTGTACATTAAATTTTTCACATCTCGCACGGGAAATTCACGCCTATTTTAATTGCTTTTATTCGAGAAAAAAGTAATCGGAAGGGATGAATTTTGAAAAAATAGCTCCTGGTCTGTGTAGTCTTTAAATAGTTGATTCGAAACGGTGGATCAAAGACGAACGAAGGTAAAAGCTTTCGAAAATTTGTGCAGGACGGATTTAATTCGCGAAAAAAGCTCGTCCAACTCCCCGGTAAGGTATGCAACCTATTTCAAGATGGACACCACCCACGTCTGTCTGCAGTCTCCGCAGAGCCGACCACCGCAGTGTTATTCCCGTTGGTACGGTAATTAGCCAGCGAGTCTGGCAGTACCGCTGTGCACGCGTTCACTCTTTTTCAACGAAAGTCCCCCCTCGCCGGTTCTTTTCTCCCCCATGCAAATACGGAACGTTGAAAGATAAGAGGCGGTCGAGCTTAATGAAATTCAGAGGGGTCTCGCAGGATCGAACGATTATTAGATTAGCTCGAACGGTGGGGAAACGAAACACCGTTGGAAATAAACGACGATGGGGGAGAGGCGGCGTGAACGTTTCATAAATATTCGCGGATGGAGAAACGGCCGAAACAGAGAGAGATAGACAGTGCTGATCTTCCCTTGGTCGTTGTTGAAATTACCCTTCGCGTCGACAAAATGCTGGAATTCTACGTTTCTCTGAAGGAGGAATAAAAGAGCGTGCTCCTAAAATTACACGCTTCACAGGCCAGTGAACTCGCGTGGCGGCTTTAGAGAGTCTCGATAAAACTTACGACTTGGGTGTTACTACCGGATAAACCGGTGAAGAACGTTGCGAAAGTTGGTGCAACACGGGGGAACTGAAATTTGGACGGGAAAAGGCGTGAAGAAGGCGGGAAAGAGAAAGAGAGAGAGAGAGGTGGTTCGGGAAAATTCGAAGAGGAAGGTACGCGTGTGGTGCGCGCACGAAGCTCTCGGCGTGCGCTCGATTTTGCGAAACGTAGCCGTCCGTGTCGCTGACCGAATCAAGGTCGTGCAACCTTGACACGGCGCTTCGAAATCTTCCTCCTCTCCTCGTCACCACCTCCCACTGGTTTGTAATTCACCTTCGGCTACTTCCTGTCGCATACACTCG